CTTGGTTAGAGGTCCCCACCCATCATCCTTGCTCAGCCTGCAGGTGGGCAATTGGAGCAGGGCTTCATTCTTTATTTTTATTGGTTGGAGATCTTTCTTTCTTTATATATACTCAGACTTGCTTTCCTATGAATGGAAGAAATCCTAGACTCTAGACTCTGCCCTTTTCCTGGGTTAGGGACCCTGCTCCCTTCACACAACATTTGCCTTAAGGCTTACAAACCACTTCCCATGCTTGTAAATGGAGATATTCATGGCCAGCACTAGCGGAGTACAATGTAAATACCAACGAAGAATTGCATCCCCAGTAGAATGGAAATCCCTCTAGAGCGGACCACGTTTTGCTTTTCTGTGTGTCTACTTAGCGCCTAGCACAGTGACTGAGACTTCTATTTTTGCGCTGGTATAGGGGATGTCAGCCACTGATGTGACTACTAGTCTTAAGGGAGTTCCCTGGAGACACAGGGCCACACAGCCGGGACACAGAGGGTGCTTAATCAATGCTGGCTTATTGATCGTCCTGTATCAAAAGTGAAGGGACTGTTTATGGGCAGCCTGTGTGCCATGTTCCAACAGGATTCAGACAAATTTAAGAAGCCCAGAGGGAGGATTTGTAGGAGGACATGGGCCAAGAGTTGCATGGGATGAGCAGACATCGATGAGTTGTGATTTCTATTGTCAGAGAGAATTCCCACAACTATATAAAATACTTTACAACTGCCCTTCGAAGTCGGACATTGCTATCCTCATTTTACAGGTGAGGAGTGAGGCTCAGAAAGGTTAATTAACTTGCCTGTGGTCATTCAGAGGCAGGCCTCAAACAGAGGTCAAATCCAGGGCTTTTTTTTCACATCAGTAGACATCTCATGGATGGCCTCTCACGTATGGCACCTGTGAGAGAGGGCATTGGAATTTGTGGGCACAGTTTTTGGCCTCTAGTAGACAGAACTGACCATCCCTGGCTGGCAGTCCATCTTGGCACTTGTGAAAATAGAGGTCATTGGGTTAGTGTCCATCCACACCTGGAACTAGGCTTTGTACAGTCTGGGAACTTTTCAGGAGCAAAAACTCAAGGCCCCAAATAACAACTTGTGCATCATTTTATGTGTTTCACTGTCAGTGAGTCTCTGACTAGTGACCTCAATAAGATTCCATCTGCTTCTGGCAGTTGTCTCTCTCCTAGTTCCAGGTGATCTCCAACACATCTAAGCTGGCATCAGTGTGTAGGACAAAGGGCTTACCTGGATCAGCTAAAGCCAACACCAATAGAGTGGGAAGGTGCTAATGGGGTCTTTGAAGGCTGCTCCCTCTTCTGAGTAACCTCCAAAGGGCACCAAGGCATCCAGTCTGTCCTCAGATCCTGCTTCTGAATTTCCCTTCTGCTCTCCCATCTTACAGACCTCTCCAGGAAGCTGCATAGGGGTGAGACCATTGAGGGGCAGGGGGATGGATACCTCACTTTTCACAAATCACCAATAATAAATAACCTCAGTGTGTCTGAACCATGATTGTTCTCAGGATGTGGCCAGGTGCTGAGTGCTTCTCTCATAGCCTGGACTCCCGCCATGCTGAGATACTGCAGGTTATATTTAACAGACATTTGACAGTGAACAGCTTTAGGAATATGGGCTGCAACCTATCTCTCAGCTTCCCTCTCTCTCATCTGTTCTTCCGATGTCTTCCAAACCCAATGACATCATACAGATAGACAGTAACACTAAGCATTTCAAGGCATCATTGTTCATCTGTCCTCCTTACTGGGACCCCTGCATGCTGCGTCACCCCCTCTACCCCATCCTTTGAGCAGCTTCTGAAATAGCAAAAAACGCAAGCATGAGCAAGTCTCTCCTCTGCTTCAAATGCTTCAAGGGCTTCCTCAAGCCCACAGAATAAAATGCAGCAAGATTAGCATTCTGGGAACTGCTGCAAAGTGAAGGAAACAGGGCCAGTGCAAATGGAAAGAGCATCACTGAAAATCTGAACTGAATGCTATAGAATTATGAACATAATAGTAGTTAACACTTACATAGTATTTTAAGGTTTATATAAAGTGATTCATATACTTTATCTCATTTTGTCCTCACAGAATTAGGTGCTATTATAATCCCAATTTTACAGATGAGTAAACTGAGGCAGAGAGAGGCTTAGTGACTTGTCCAGGGTCACACAGCTAGAAAGTGCCTGGAGCAGGATTTGAACTCAGTGCTTTCTGGCATCATTCTCTTCACTGCACTGCCTAGCTGCCTCAAGTTTGCTTCTTGAAGAAGAGAGATGAGAATGTACCCCCTTTTCTTCCTGGTAGAGGTAGAGGACTAGGGAGGCTGAACACAGCATGTGCTGTCTAACTCCACTTCTCTACTGGCTAGATTTGCTGAACTTCCAAGAAAATCTTTTCTACCCTTCATTATGTAAGAGATAGCTGCCCAGGTAGGAGAAAGGGCAGAATGGATTGGGAAATGGAGGCGATGTGAAAACAAAAGACATTAGAGTCTCATTCACAGGGCATTGGAGGCCTTACCCAGTCTTGCTCCAATGTAGAATGTTTGTGAATCAATGGATGGATGGACTCTATCCACTGGAGAATGGCAGGACAAACTGTGATACATGAATGCGACAATATTATACAAGAAGAAATGACCAGCATGAGAAATTCAGAGAAACTTGAGAAGACCTCTATGGACTGACGCAGAATGGAGTTAGCAGAACCAGGAGACGATATACACAAGGACCATGATAACATAAATGAAAAGAATACAAGAAATGAACTAACTTCTGAAGATCACCTTGGTATGTTGAGAAGAAGATTGACTCTGGAGCCAGAGGCCCTGAATTCAAAACCCATCTCCAAAATTCACCACCTGAGTGACTTTGAGCAAGCCACTTAACCTCGAAGGGCCTCAGTTTCCTCATCTGTGGAATGGAAGGGTTGGACCAGACTCCTTCTAGCTCTAGGTTATGAACCTATACATTGCATTGACCAGCTTTGGTTCTGGAGGTCGGGTCAGGAATGAGGGGCGGGAGACACTGGAGGCAGAAGGTTGTGCAAGCTGTCAAATGAGGTCATGCTTTTTGCTTGTTTGCTTTTCTTTGTTATGAGGAAGGGTTCAATTCCAAGGCAATAGAGGTGAGGCGGCATGACTGTGTCTGGAAATGATGATGTCGTAAAAACCAATGATATCAATAGAACTTATTACGGAAAAATAAATGGAGGGATCCATTAGCGTCATTAAGATTAAATCAATGTTATGCCTGGATGGAGCCGGGCCAGTCCCTAGACGTCACAAAGAAATCAGTTTATGTTGCTGATTCTGGAAAGCACGTACATCCAAAGGAGAAATTATATTAAATTTAAGGACACGCGTTCTTTTCCCCCCTTTAAACTGGGCAAGATAATGTTCTTCCAAGATGGATAAATCCTTAGGAAGCTTGGAAGCAGAAGGCCTGGCTTCCTTCCTTCCTGTTGTTCCGATGTTTAAGTCGTGTTTGACTCTCCATGACCCTATCTGGTGTTTTCTTGGCAGAGATACTGGAGTGGTTTACTCCTCTGTAAAATGAGCTACTCCAGCTCATTTTACAGAGGAGGAAACTGAGGCAAACAGAGTTAAGTGGCTTGCTCAGGATTTACACAGCTAGAAAGTGTCTGGGGTCAGATTTGAACTCAGGAAGATGAGTCCTCCTGACTTGGGCCCCAGCTTAGCTGCTGGCTTCAGTCCTTGCTCTAATTAGCTGAGTGACACCAGGTGACTCCCATAACCTCTGAGTGTGGGTCTTCATTTAGGATCTGAGCCAGAAGGACCCTCTAAGAGCATCTCATTCAACCTTTTCATTTTTACCAAGAAGGAAAGTGGAGCCCAGAGTTTCAGTGATATGCGTGAGGTCCCCCAGGTATTGAGTAGCAGACTTGGAATTTTGAATGCAAGCCCTCTAAAGCCAAATCTGGTTTTCCCAAGTCTGGTCATGTCACTCCCCTGCTCAAGAAGCTACAGTGCCTCTAGGATCATCTATAAAGTTCTGTCTTTGGCATTTAAAGCCTCCCCAGTCTGGCCCCAGCCCACCTTTCACGTACTGTACAGGGTACATCCTAAGAGTCTTAGTGCTTAGGTAAAGTAAAGCTTAAAACTTCCCTAAGACTTTTGGGATACTGTGCTATCCCAGCCAAACTGACCTTCTCTCTTCCTTACTTGTTCAGCCATTTCCTACCTCCAGGCTGTCCCCTATGCCTGGGATATGCCTCCTCTTCCCTACCCACCTCGGACAATCTCCAGCTTCCTTCAAAATTCAGCTGAAGCCCGGTGCTCCCCATCTTTATATCTGCCCCATGGCCCTGAACTGTCAGTGTGTGCACCCCACCTCCAAATCCCCTGCATGTGCTTCACGTCCTTTTGGAGCTGTCCATGTTGCATCCCCCACATTGAATGTGAATTCCCTGAGGGCAGGTGTTTCCTTTTTGTCGAGGTACCAGTGCCCACCTTGGCGCATCACCCCCAGCAGGCGTTTGCTAAAACGCTTGCTGATCCTTTGCTCTATCCCACCCCAGCTTCTACTTTCTTCTGTATAACACACAGACCCACGAGGGGATTTCATCCGTGTGGGGAAGGAACTCTGTGTGTGGGAGTTCCCAGTCTACATCCGTTATTTAGTAGACGTGTCCGAAGGAGTTGTCTGGGATTTAAAGAGGCTGATTAACTTGCCCAGGATCATTCAGCCAGTGTGTGTCAGAGATATTTGAATCCAAGTCTTCCTGGCCCCATGTCCTTTATCCACTGCTGCCATTAAATAACACTACATCTAAGTTGGAGTAATGCTAACATGGGAAATTGGTAACATTGGTAAAATTGTGAAATTAGCTAACATCTCCTTAGTACTTTAAGGTTCACAAAGGCTCTCATTTGCTCCTCACAACACCCCTGTGAGGTTACTGAGGATGAGAGAGAGGGAATGACTTGCCCAGGTTCACAGAGCTAGTAAGTGTCTGGATTCTTGCCTCTAGGTCCAGCATTCTGTCCATTACACCCATGTACCTCCCAGGGACATGCTTTGGAAAGAATAAACCAGGAAATCAGAGGTAAGCATTCTCATGACTGTTGGGCAGTTTCAAAATTAGGGTGGTTCCTTCTCCCTTTCTAAGTTACAAAGCTTCTTAAAAGCCGCCCTTTAGAAAATGGTGGAGGGTGTCCCTGCCTACAGTTTGTAGAATCCCGAGCTCTGCACATAGCCTGGCATTCCATCAATGGGCAGCCAAGCCATCCATTGTTCCCAGCTCTGCTTCTGGGCTGTAGTGTGTCTTGTGAGCCCAGGGATTTGTGAAGGACAAGTGGTCCTGAATTGTTAATGGATCAGAGAGGACAAAGGCATGTGGAAAGTCTGGCTGGGGGAGGGTGGCCTTGGCTGGCCATATTTCCCAGCAAAAAGCTTGTTACCAGTAACTTGTTCTGGGTCCCCCAATCATCTGCTCCATCCCAGCCTAGCCTCCACTTCCCCAGCTCCTCACCCTTTCCCCTCCTCTCTCTTTCCCCCTGTTTGTTCTCTCTCATTTGGTCTGCTCGCTTGTTTTTTCCAGGCTAAGAATGGGTCACACATTAGGCGAGATGGGAAACAGCTGGAGAGACACCTGTCTTGGAGACAGGGACATACAAGGGGAATGAGGGAGAAGAGGTACACTCAGCTTAGGGGGGAGAAAAGGTCCCTGGGGCTTCTATCTCAGCCACAGCAACAGCTCATTTCTATCAGCTCTTTAGAGTTTAGGATTATAGATGAAGCTAGCGTTAGAAGGGACCGATGATCAATTCAACCTACTGAGTTTACAGATGAGGAAACTGAGGACCAAAGAAGGAAGTGACTTCCCCAAGGCTGGAATGTGCCCCTCTCTGTGATTGCAGATTCAGAGCCCTTCCCACCTGCCCCTCAGAGCACCCCTTTGCACTTCCCTTCCCTTTACAAAGTCTTTTTGTGAGGAGGTGAATATTGGAAGTGTTACTCTTGCCTCCGTTGTAGACAAGGAAGCTAGTGCTCCCTCCACATGTTGCCTTTCCAAGGTGGAAATTTTGTTTTCTTGTCTGCCCCTCCTGCACCCAGAAAGCCTACCACTCTTCAGGGAAGGCTTGGCTTGTTAGCCATCTCCCACTTCTGATTGGGTGACCCATAGGTCCTATTTAGAGAAATAGCATGGAACATGGAGACTATACTTTGGAGTCAGAAGGTCTTTGCTCTGTTCTATAGTAGCTGGTAAATCATTTAACCTCTTACTTTCCTTATCTGTAAAATGGGCATGATAATATTTCCCTAACTACCTTCATGGAGTTGTTTTATTTTCTTCTAACACATGTACTTAGCTAAGGTCAGCAAAGTACTTTATACGCATTATCTCATTTGATCCCCAGAACAACTCTTCTCCATTTTACAGATGAGAAAATTAAGACTGAGAGAGATTAACAACTTACCCAGAGCCTCATTCCTAGTAAATGAGAGCAATGTTGTCCTGTTGGAGATAGGGCAATGGACTTGGATTACAAGCCTTGGAGGAACCTGAGTTCCAATCTTGCCTCTGATACTTGGGAGCCATGTGACCTTGGTCAAGTCATTTAACCTCTTCATGCCTCAGTTTCCTCAAATATAAAATGAAAGGGCTGGTCTAGTTGGCCTCTAAGGTCCCTTCTCACTCTAGATCTATGATTATAGCATCTGAGTATCTCAGGCAGGAATCAAACCCCAGTCTTTCTGACTATAGGTACAATGCTCTATCTATCTATCTATCTATCTATCTATCTATCTATCATCAGCTACCTTGATTAATTATCATACACTGTAAAGCATCATGATTCTTTGTAAATGTCAGTGCTTTCCATATTTAGTTTTACCATCTTCTTCAGCTCCCCAGTTGCACAGTGCTAAGCTTCCTTCCAGCTGTTATAATGGCCTCCTAAAAAATTCTTTCATTACTCCAGTCTGCTCAGCCCCGATCCTTTCTTCTCTAAGATCCTCTGGCAGACCACCAAGGGAAGCTCCCAGAAGCTGAGGGATTTCCTCCAGAGGGTCCAAGAGTCATCTCAAAGAGAGGATGGAAGCAAACAGTCCCTTGGGACACTTCCATGGGAATTCAACAGGAGGGGAAGGAAAGACTATTGGCTTCTTGGCTCAGAAAGAAAAGAAATGAATCACATCCTTTGGGGGAAATCAAAGCTTTCTCTTCTTGCTACTGTGACTTTATTTCCAACTCGCTCGGCCTATTAGCGACATTCATTCTTCCCCCAATCTAGCATAGTCACTCAAGAGCCAACAACATCCCCACATCCCTACCGCCTTCAGAATCAATGTCTCAATATCCCCACCTCCCTTGGAGCCAACATTCCAACATCCTGACCTCCCTTGGAGCCAAGATCTTCACTCTTTAGCTAATTCTGATTGGGTCAAAGGAACCCTTGGAGTGAGAATCTAATCCCACCAACTGGGGCAATTTAGGAAGCAGGATGGTAGAGAAAAGAACTTTGAGGCTGGCAGAGAAGAGCCCTGGGCTCCCAGTCTGGCTCCGACATTCAGCCTTAGGCCATTGTGGTCTTAGGAAGTCACCTTTCTGAGCCTCAGGTCTCTTTAAGACTTTCTCATTTGCTGAGTGGGAAGAATTCCCCCAGCCAGGAAATTTGCTCCAAAGGTTGCTTTGAGGAGCCAGCCAGATGCAGCGAGATGAAAATACTTTTGAAAGTTCCCAGCTCTCTTCAAAGGGAAGATGTGATTTATTGTAAGCAGCCCTGGATCTGGCAAGATTCCAAAGCGTGGCCCAGGATGAGCTGCTCCAATTTTGAGGTTGGGTTCTGAGGGCTTCCCTCCTGTCTCCTTTGCTCTCCCATGAGACCCTCCAAGATGTCGCTGCAGCCTTCCTCCCTAGCTTCATCTTACATCACTCACTTCCATACAGTTCTCCTCCCTACACTGGATTACAAGCAGCTCCCTGAACTTGGCACCTATTTCTGGGCTTCCTATGGGCTCTCCCTTGGGCCTGGTATGCACTTCTTCCTCAGTCTTCTTATCTTCCTTTAAGGCTCAGATCAGATGCATTCAATGGGAAGCTTTTCCAGTTACTCCTGATTTCTCTCTCCTCAAATGGCCTGGCATTCACTTCACAATTCACCATGGTGGGCTCCTTGAGGGCAGAAAGCCCTTCTTAATCCCCCCATCTGCTAGTGGACATCCTCCCCGAACTACCTTGTGTTCAATGTATATATTATTGACTGACTGATTGTTGTCCTTTATTCTCGAGGAGGACCAAAATGGTACCACTGTGTTAGAGTCACGTTACAGTGTGTCTGTGGCCAATCAGATGGAAGTGAGCTCAGAATGCTCTAGTACAGGTCGGGCACAAATATACTATAATAAGTACATATTGTCTTGCCCATCAGAATGTAAGCTGCTCGAGGGCAGCGACTGGCTCACTTTTGTCTTGGTTTCCCATTTCCACTTAATCAGTATTTGTTGAATTTAATTGTGTTGAAATGCCTGCATCTGAAAGGCAGGGGTGGGATGGGGATGGTCTGGTGGCTTCTCATGGTTCCTACGTGGACAGGAATAATATACAGGGTTGCAGATGGTGCTGGTGGTAAACAAGGAGACTTGGGATGGGTTGGGGGGGGAGGGCGGGGAAGATCACAGGGTCTTAGATTTAGAGTTGGAAGGGACCTTGGAGATTACCTAGTTGATTTCAATTTTTACAGATAAGGAAACTGAGGCATAGAGGTGACTTGACCAGGGTTGCACAGTCATTGTCCAAGGCAGGAATTGAGGGGAGACTAATTAGGTATCTCATTCATTCACTTGAAGCTGTCTTGAGAATCTGGCCAGGGTCTACTAGGTGTTCTCATATATTCTTGACAAGCCTGAATCCTTCAGAGAGACAGAGCCCAGAGATTTTGACTTGAAGGCTAAAAGTGTTCTCTGTGTGGGAGGGGGAAGTTTCTCCTGCCCATGGGAGGCCTTTTTACCTTTGAGCTGAAAAGGAAGCTGGGGGATGGGATGGCATGCCAGCCAGGGTCCTAGGAATTCCATTCTCTGGGGCAGCCTGGCTGGCTCCTTGTTCCATTCTCAGCATGAAACAGAAGGGACAGTGCCAGCAGCCCCAGGAGCCAGTAAGCTGGGGATCAGGGTTTAAGGAAGGAGCTGGACTGAGGATTTCAGAAGTAATCCCAAGCATCTGCATTGTCCCTGCCCCCTTCCCCTTAGCCCAAGAACTGGCTCTCTGCTTGGATCCTTCAGTCTCCAGGACCTCAAGGGACAACCAACAACTGAGTCCTTAAAGTTAACTCTGCCCTTGACCCGAGGTCAAGGTGAAAGTCTGCCCCTTCTGAGTAAGCCCTTGGAGATTGTGGGCTAGAGTAACAGAAGGCAGGAGCTGGAGGATACCATCTGGTTCATCTGCTTCACTTTACAGAAGAGGAAAGTTTGTACCTGAGAAGGGTAAGTGACAGCAAATAGTGTTAAAACCTGGATTAAGGAATCCGGACGGAGAGAGTTCTGGACTTGGGTGCCTCAGACATTACTGGTTTGGTGACCCTGGGCAAGTTTCTTCATCTGTAAAATGAGGATAATAATAGCACCTACTTCATAGGGTTGTCATGAGGATCTAATGAGAGCCTATGTAAAGAGCTTTGTAAACCTTGAAGATTGTGTATTTGTTAGCTATCACCATCACTGTCATCATCATCATCATCATCATCAATAATAATGATAAATTCAATTTTAAAAACTTCCCATCCAATGTTCTTTCCATTGTGAGTGCCTTCCCTCTGAGATTATCCCCATTTACCATAGATATATATGTAATATATGTGTCTGTATCTATCCTTCCATCTCTCTCTCCCTCTCTCTCTCTCTCTCTCTCTCTCTCTCTCTCTCTCTCTCTCTCTCTCTCTCTCTCTCTCTCTCTCTCTCTCTCTCTCTCTTCCTCCATTCATCTATCCATCTATCTAGGTGGCACAATAGATAAGAGTGTTAGGCATGATGTCAGGAAGACCTGAGCTCAAATCCAGCCTCAGACACCTACCAGCTGTGTGATCCCAGGTAAGTCACTTAACTTCTATTTGCCTCAATTTCCTTACATGTAAAATGGTATTAACAGCACAACCTACCTTTCAGGGCTGTTGTGAGGATCAAATGAAATAATATTTGTAAAGTACTTAGCACAGTGCCTGGCACATAGTAGGTGCTAAATAAATGCTTATTCTTTCATCTATCTATCCAACTCATGTGCTTATATGTATAGAATTGTTTTCATTTTGTCTATCTCATTAGAAGGTGAGCTCCTTGAAGACAGGCATAATATTTTGGCCCTTTTTTGTATCCTCAGTGCTTAGCATGGTGCCTGGCACATAGTAAGCTCTTAATAAGTGCTTGTTGACCGACTCACATTTATAGAGAGTTTTAAGGTTTGTAAAGCACTCTAAACGCATTACCTCATTTGATCCTCACAACACCCCTAGAATGTTGGCAATATTCTTATCCTTATTTCACAGATAAGGAAACTGAGGCATACAGAAGGAGAGAGGGAGAGGAAGGAATAAGCATTTATATGTTACCTACTAAATACCAGGCTCTATGCTAAGTGCTTTTCACAAATATTATCTTATTTGGTCCTCACAACAACCCTGAGAGTTAGGTGCTGTTAATATTCCCATTTTACAGTTGAGGAAACTGAGACAAACAGCAATTAAGTGAGTTGCCCAGAGTCACACAGCTAGTAAGTGTCTGAGGCCAGATTTGAACTCAGGTCTTCTTGGCTCCCAGACCCAGCTGTCTACCCACTGTGTCACCTTCCTTTGCCTCTCAAGTCCCCGGCTAATTCGTGGCGTGGTATTTCTGACAACATCAAACCCATAATGGCTTCTTCACTGACTCCAGACAACCTGGAGAAAGCTAGAGTCCGTCCAGGCGGAGAAAATCATTGACCCCGGACAGCCTCCTGACACACTGACCGTGACTCCATATTATCAATTGCCTCTCACCTGCCCCTAGGTGGGGGCTGACTGAAATGCGCCTGAGAAGATAGTGAGCATTTGTCTAGTGCTACAAGGTTCATGAAGCACGCTCTGTAGGTTATCTCCTTTGATCTTTACAACAGTCCTCTGATGTAGGGGCAGTTATCACTCCCATTTTACAGAGGGGGAGACCCGAGGCAGAAAGAGGCCAAGTGACTTGTCCTGAAGAATACAAAGAGTATCTGAGCCAGCATTAGAACTCAGGTCTTCTTGACTACAAGTCCAGCACTCTTGATCTACTATACCACCCAGCTGAGAGGAAAAAAAAAAGGTCTGTGTCTCTACCATGACAATGACATCAGCTAACATTTATATAGGACTTGAAGGTTTGCAAAAGTGCCTTATAGAGGTTATCTCATTATTATTATTATCCTCCTGTTAGGATCCACATTTTACAGAAGTGAAAACTGAGCCTCAGTTTAAATGACAACCTGGTAGATGTCTGAGGAGGGATTTGAACCGAGGTCTCCCTGACTCTGCATCCTCAGAACTAATGTCTCTCCTGCTGGCTAGACCATAAGGTCTTTTCCGACATGTCCCTGACTCCCTCTGCCCCTATCAAAAACTGCCGGATTTGGAGGGAACAGTCATCCCAAGACCAAGGAATCCTTTGCATCCAACAAAATGTAGGCATTCCTAGGATTCAGAGATCCTCTGGTTGCAGCCTTCACTTTACAAAGGAGAAAGCTGGTAAAGAGCTGAGAAGTGATTTGCCCAGAGTCACAGATTCTAGCTCATTGATGGTGTCAGTTACCCACTGTCGGCTTGTAGGGGAGCAGGGAGATAAGAGGGAGCAGGCTGCCTACCTTTTTCCCATGAGTCGCTCCCATGGCATGGGGGCTGGCCCACACAGGCACTGGTGTACCCCCCAGGCTTCTCCTTCTGGTCCTGTGGGAGCAAGGGGTCTCGGGACAGGTCCTCTTGCTTGGGGCAGCTTGGGTCCACTGGAGCCTGGGGGAGGTGGAGGCTGCATCCACGGCCAGGAAAACCCGGTCTAGAGACAGGCTGGCTGCTAGCCTTGAGTGCCCGGAACCAGGCTCTTACAGGAGATGAGCAGGAACTTTTCCTTTGATTGAGATGACTACCGAACACAAACTCATCTTCCTCTCCCTGGCGCCTCCTCCTCGTGGGGCTCAGCCTCGGCTCAGCGAAGAGGCAGCTTTCAGAGATGCTCTAACCTTTAAGCCCATCTCCTGGTCTGCAAAGGGACTTATGATAATTGCCCTTGACAAAGCGGGATGCCAGAGGCGGCCAAGCCAGCCTGAGAAGAAATCCCACAAGTGGCCTCGGACCTGGAGCCAATTTCTGGCCTCTGGAATGTCTTGGCTCAGGCCCAATACAGCATTCCTGGCGGGGAGGTTGGAAGGTGGGGAGGGACTGTTAGCCTTAGGTTCTTGAGCTCCTTCCTCTGGTCCTAGGAAAGTCCAAGAATGAGCACCTGAGGGAAACAACTCAGCTTCAGCCAGCAGGCTCAGGCCCTTGGCCGGTGACCTCAGAGGCTGGCCAGCCGACAGACTTATGGGCAGCCTTGTCACTGCCCAACAGACATCATCCTGAACAATGAGGTTACATAACATGCTGGTTCCGGGGGGGGGGGCTCCCACAGGGAACCAGCTCGCTTGGGAGGAGAGGAGGAGGAGCAGGGACTGTTTAAGGCAGCCTGGGCAGCATCGGCTGCTCAGGAATGCCAGACCCAGTCAAGAAGGCCTCATTAATAATGGATCCTTTAAGACTGTCCAGGGCCTGGAGTTCTCAGAATGTAGAAACCTAATGCATCTCTAATAATTAATTCAAAGGGCAATGGGGGTGGGGAACTGGAGACCAGAAAGGACAAGATTCATTCTTTATAAATCCCTTCTGTTCAGTCCTGCCAAGTCCTCAGTCCTCTGCCCGGCCTTCTTCCACCCGCCCACCCTCATCACACCCTCCCTGACTGCTGCAGCCGCAGGAAATCTGCTTGCCATTTTCTGAATGGAACTCATTTGCTGCTGGGGCTGTTTTTGCACTGACCTTGGGGTGCTCTGAACCTTCTCTGTCACTTATCAGGTATTCATTCAGTCAACAAACAGATAGACCAGGCACTTTGAGGGATTGAAAGAAAGCTGAAAAACGGCATTGGCTCTCAAGGAACTCACAGTGTAATGCAATAATAATCTCACAGAAGGACATAATCTTACAATTGAAAGGAATCTCAGAGGTGAAGTGTCATCCCATTTGCTGGGCTTGAACCTCGTTCAAGCTTGGAGCTAGAAAGGATCTGATGTTCCTGGAGACTGAGGCTGAGAGATAGCTCAAGGAATAAATAGTTTGAAGTGAAAATAACCAGATTTAGGTGTTCAGTGATGCCAAGCGGAATTCTAAGCTTGGGTGTGACTAAGCTGGATGTCAGTATTTTATCTGCTTGGGCATGGTATATGCCCCCAAATTTCTCACTCTGTAGCAAAGAGAATTTTATATTCTAAGGATTGGGCTGAGAATGTTATGCTCTGCTATGTTATGGGCAGGTAGGTGGCACAGCGGGTGGAGCATCAGGCCTGAAATCAGGAAGGCTCATCTCAGTGAGTCCAAATCTGACCTCAGATACATTAATTGTGTGATGCTGGGCAAGTTACTTCACCCTGTTGGCCTCAGTTTCCCTCATCTGTAAAATAAGCTGGAGAAGGAAATGGCAAATCACTCCAGTATCCTTGCCAGGAAAACCCCAAGTGGGGTCACAAAGAGTCAGATATGACTGGAAATGGACATAACAAAACTTGGAAGGATTTGCAAAGTCTTTGGAAGAAGACTATGTCCTGGAGTTCAAGGACATGCTCTAAAAATGTCTTCTTTTTCCTATTTGTTGTGGTAGCAGAAGTTAGGGAACTATAGAATCTCCTTGTAGACTCATAGTTTTAGAGCTAGAAGGGATCTTAGAGGTCACCTTACAGATGAGGAAACTGAGGCATGGAGAGTTTAAGTGATGTACTCAAGGTCACGTAATTAATATTTGAGGCAGTGAGTCAGCAAACTAGCATTTCTTAAATATCTACTATGTGCCAGAAAGTATGCTAAGCTTTAGGCAGGATTTGAATCCTGGACTTCTTAACTCCAAATTGCAATAAACATCCTATGTAGAAAATAAAAAGAGATAGCAGGAGAGAGGGGACAGGTACTTGGCAGGAAGACTGAAGTCAAACTCCTGGTTACAAAAAGCCCTTCTCTCATCCCAACCAAGCTCCCCTTCCCCCACTTCAGTTTATGGTGATTCATTTTGGGCACAAGCTTCTGTTTTCCTTGAATGATAATGAGAATGAGAATGGTGATGGTTATGATGATGTCTCAGCAGTAGCCATAAAAATGCCATATGTTGATGGGGAAGGTCAAAGCCCTCTAATTGTGGCCTTGGCCTAAATTGGTGGTGGTGGGGGTGGGGTGGGGGAGGGTTAGGAAGAGAAACTTTTGAAATTTGCATTTATAAATCACTTGGACTCTGAGTTTAAGAGAGGCCTAGAATCTGACCTGTATTACCAATTACCACAGATTAAGAGCTGAAAGGGATTCTACTATTTTGTAGCTAAGGAAGCTAAAGTCCAGAGAGGTGAATAATGATAAAAGCTAGCATTCACTTAGTGCTTTACAAATATTGCCTCATTTTATCCTCACAACAACCCAGGGAGGTAGGTGCTATAATTATCTCCCTTTTACGGTGGAGGAAACAGAGGCAGACAGAGGTTAAGTGACTTGCCCAAGAATCACGCAGCTGACCTGGGATGAAATTGGGACTCCAGTCTTCCTGACTCCAGGTCCAATGCGTTAGCCTTTGTGCTGCTTCGATGCCCCAAAAATGAAGCAACTTGTCCAAGGTCACCCAGTCAATGAGTATCAAAGGTGACATTGAAACCCATGTCTATTGATTCCACCTCTAACACTCTTTCTACCAGGTGCCAACCTTGATTGGCTGGAGCCCTCAACTAACCAGGTGTTTCTTCAGTTCCTTTTTAGGAGGAAGAGGCAAATATCATCAGCTGACAGGATGGAACCAGTGTAAAACCCAGCTTCCAGGGCACATTCTAAGATGGTAACAGATGCGAACAGGGACCATACCTTATCCTTCTTTAGAAGCCACATTGGAGTTCACACAGTGCTTTGCACACAAAATCAAGAGTCCAGGGTCAGAAGGGGCCCACTGGCCATCTAGTCCTCTCCTAGATGGATAGGAGCCCTCTCTAAAATACCCTTACAAATAAATGCTCATTCAGCAGTTGTCTGAAGCCCTCCCCTGAGGGGAGGCTTGCTAAATCATGAGGCAGCTCTTTCCAGTTTTGGACAGCTCCAACTTCCATCCACTACTCCTATTTTTCTGCCCTTATGGGGCCAGATAGATCAAGTGTAATCCCTTTTCCATGCACACACTGAGGCTCATTTATCTCCATCAGAGTCTAGGGCAGTACCTAACATATAGTAGGTATACAACAACACTATTTGTTGAATTGGACTTTTCTAGTGTCATTTCTCCCAGTAGTTAACCAGGCAACAACTTGTTAATGAATCAATAGATCAATAAACCTTATTAATTAGTAGCAGTAGCAGTAGCAGTAGTAGTAATCACCTCCTGGTTTCAGAAAGACCGGGATTCAAGTCACTCTGTTGACCCATATTGGCTCTGTGACCTTGGGAACATTACTTAACCTCTCAGTGCCCCCAGGCAGCTCTAGGTCTCAGAAAGTCTTAGAGTCCAAGACCATAAATTGCAGAAATCATGTGCATGAAGGATGTACTTTCCTTATCAGAAATTCCCTGTAACAGTGAAATTACTGGTCCATGGGGACCAACCCCATGTGCTTGGGATGCAAAAACAAACAAAGTTTCAAGAAAATCTCTGCCTTCCAGGAGTTTACTTTCTAATGAGATGCTAATAGGTAGAGCAATGGTGTCCAGGAAGTGAGCTTTGGTCTGGAAAATCATAGGGATGGCAGGTCATCATCATGAGGATAGTTACCCTCGAGTGGCCCATTGTCGTACCTTTTCCAGTAGCTATAGTAGTGTTGATTGGAGTAAGAACAAGAGTTAGAAAGGCTGGGGAGGATGCTGTGATGTTGGCAGCAAGGAAGATGGTGTCCTGGTGGATGGCTGAGTGGGAATTAGAAGAGTGAAGAAGCAGCAAGCGCTAGAAAGAGCACAGGACGTGGAGGCCAGGTTGGAGTTGGGGCTTTTCCCCTAACTTGCTATGTGACCTTGAACAAGTCTGTTCTTCACTGGTATAAAAATTATGATGACAATGGTAACTCATGTTTCTATAGTGCGCGCTCTCTCTCTCTCTCTCTCTCTATTTCTCTCTCCCCTCTCTTTTTCTTTCTCTCCCCTCTCTCTCTTCTTTCTCACTCCTTTCTCATTCTTTCTCTCTTCTCCTCTTTCCTTTTCTTTCCTCTTCTCTCTCCTCTTTCTCATTCTTCTCTCTCTCTTCTCTCTTCCTCTCTTCTCTCTCTCTTTTTCTCTCTCTCTTTCTCTCTCTCTCTAGCTGTCTCTCAGTTATGTCTCTGTTTCCCCCCATCTGTGTTACTATCTCTCTGTGTATGTATCTCTCCCCTCCTCTCTGTTTCTCTATGTCTTTCTGTGTCAGTATCAGTCTCATCCTCCATTTAAATCAAACTTATGCTTTAAATGATGCCAGAGAGATTTCACACAACTTTAGCTATCCTGGCTTATGCATTAAGGTAACGTAAGGTAATGTATAGAGCCACAGAATGCCAGAGGGGGAGGGGACCTTCGAGTTTGCCTTGCCCGACCCCCTTATTTTATAACTGAGGTTTTGGAGCCTTGGGGTAATGAAGCAGTTTGGTCCAGGGAGTTATTTGTTGTTTTCTAGAGACTCTTTTCATAATGCATGGGTGTGGCCTGGGGTCTCTGGGGAGGTCCTCGAGGACCTCCTGTAGCCCCCTTCTCCTCTCTCTATCAATAATGAGTTTATTGTCTAAGCTAACTAACTCACTTTCAAATGCCCTGGCCCAGAGGGACTGAGGGATGGGGTAGGAAGGAGGAGGAGAGAAATCAGCTGCAGGAAGGCCAGGAAGGAAATGGGATGGCCGTAAGCAAGCAGAAGAGGTCTAAGTGGAGACTTCTTGTTTTTAGCATGGAGAGTCTGTATGTACATATATGCAGAAGTTACTGTGTAGGCAGAATAGATAGCAGGGAGTTTAAGGGGGTGGTGCTCTCAGTTGAGGGAAAAGGATGACAAAGTGGAAGAATGAGGGAAGGCAAGGCACAGAAATGGAAATAGGAGCCCCATATAGAAGGGAGCAGAGAAGAGGCCACTTTGGCTGGGCCATTGGCAGTCAGAAAGCTAGTCTGAAGCCATGTTATAAAGGATTGTAAGCCAAATAAGCTATTTTGTCCTCGAGGCAATAGGGAATCACTGGAGATAATTAAGTAGGGAGTGATACTGTCACATCCCTGCTTAAGGAAAATCACTGGGGAAGCTGAAAGGAGGATGGCCTGGAAGGGGAGGGACTTGAGGCAGGGAGACCAATGAGGAAACCATTGTAATAGTCAAGTTAAGAGATGATAAGGGCCTGAACTTATGGTGGCTATGAGGGATGGAGGCATGAGTGAGATGAATGAGAAAGCATTTATTAACCTCTTACTGTATGCCAAGCATGGTGCAGAGTACTGGGGATGCAAATGCAAAAGCAAGACCATATCTTCTCCCTCAAAGATGATGGGGGAAGACCCCCAAAAGGCAGGGCAGAGGTAGAAAAGGGGACATGGGGTGGGTGGAGGGCACATGCACCTGCCATGGTTAGGAAATGACTTTGAAGAGGCATGGTTGTTTGGCTTCAGAGAAGATAAGGTAAGAGTTCACCAATAAGAGTCCAGGGTCCCAGGGACAAGATTTGGCATTGATATATAGGGCAACAGAGGTTGAGGGGTCCAGGGTGATACCAACGTATTGAGCCAGTGTGACTTGAAGAATGGAGGTGCTTTCAAAAGAAATAGAGAAGTCTGGAAGACAGGTGCATTTGAGAGGAAAAAGACTGAGTCCAACTCTGGACACGATGAGTTGGGCAACCATCTGGTGTTGCTGGGGACCAGCCTTGAACCCGGTTCCCTCATCAGACAACAGTAAAGGTTCATGCCCAGAGAAACATCCTTGCTTATCCAGAGACCTGCAGCTATTCAGCAGGAGAGCTGGAACAAGAGACCTCAGGTGTCCTGACTTCCAGTTCAGTTCTCTGCTCAATGCATCAGGCTGTCTCTGCTTGGCAGGGATCCTGGGTGGTCAGCATTATTTCTCCCAGGCCCTCCAGGCTCAGGACTCATCAAAGAAACATGGAGTTACACCCACCATGGTTTGAGCACCAAGGATAGTGTATCATATCAGAGGTTTTCGCTCTCATTTAACCAGAATATTCAATTAACTAGAGCTCCCCAGCCATACTGAAGTTTCATGGTGTAATCTTTTCCTGATTGATCTTGGGCTCCACCTACTGAGCGGAACTCAAATGACAACTTCTTGGAAGATTTTTCTTCACTTTCTCCAGGGAATGGAACTGGCAGACACACTGGCAGTTTAGCCTGAGGGGCCATACCCACTCAGCTGCTCTCTAGGTACAGCCAGCCAGACCTGGGCTGGCATTCAAGTGGCTCTATGTGGCCTTCCCTCCATACCCCCTCACTGTGGCAAGTACTTTCAATAGGCAGGTGGCCTGGCCATCTTCTCATCATTGGGCTTGGGCTTGCCAGCCAGGCTAGAGAATAGGCCCTGAGGACTTCACCTTTTCAGATCCAGAATTCCCAGGCTGAGCCTGCTGATTGACCCATCCATCAATCAATAAACATTTATCTTTTTCTTTTTAAAATTTATTTTATTCCAAACTTAAGAAATAAAACGTGCTTTTCCATAACATAGTAGAATGGAAAAAAAAAGATGATTACACACGAAACTTCAAATCTATTGTGTACAACTTGCTATTATTAAGTGCCAAATGTGTGTCAGGTAATGTGCTGAGCATTGGGTTGGTGAGGGTCTCCCCTGGCTCAGTATCGTAGGCAGGTGCCAGCTGTGTTTCCCTTTTTTCCCTCTCTCCACTACAGCTAATTCCTCTGCTGTCCAGATTTCCATTTCTGGAACCTTAAATAAATGAATTCTGCTGTTACTCCTGGGAATGTGTCAATCGACTCCCCCATGGAGCCCACAGTCATCCAGGGAACTCTCCAATGTACCTGTTGGTGGCTACCGCTCCACTCTTACTTATGTGCTATCTTCTTCTCTTAATGTGGGAGCTCCTTGAAAGCAGGGGCAGTTCCTGTTTTTGTCATGTCAGTCATGACTGAACCACAATAACTATGAACCACAATACCTATGCTGTGCTTTTGTAGATATTATCTCATTTGGTTCTCCAGACAACCCTATGAGGTAGATGCTGTTGTGATCTTCATTTTACACTTGAGGAAACTGAGGCTCAGAGAGGTTGTCCCACAGATTCCCCCAGTTGATGGTGCCTCTCCCTCACATAATCATGTATGTAAGCACATGTAACCCAGCTTATGGTGTCCATTCCAGAACTGGGAAGATGAAAGGAAGAAAATTGTCTTTCTGTCAGAACATAATCTCCTGCTCCCAGGTAGAGTGCTTGAAAACACATATTCCTCTTTCACATTTGGGAAATAAAAAGCAGAGGCTGTAAATCATCTCTCTCTTCATGATTCTCTCCCCATCAAACCAGGTAATAGAGGCCTCCCTGAGAGCGTCCTCTTGGAATCATTACTGAGAGAGAATCCAGTATCAAGAATTTGAATCTCAAACACACACACACACACACACCACATACACACAAAGATACAACCAAACTCACAACCAAACAAGGAAATGGAGTCACTGAGCCCTTCTGTTCTATCTCCATCCAGTGGGAAATGCACCTCCCCCCCCCCCCCGTGTTGATCATTTTCACCCTTTTGTCCTTTTTCTGGTATCTACTGAGGGTAGTCTGACCTGAGCCCACTGGCCCACCATATTGGGCTGCGTGGTCTTTTTTATTCAACTCTCCATCCGTTATTTGCAGCAATGCTTGCAATATAGGATTCTGTCTCTGCTGGGGGCTCCATCGTGGATGGGTCTGTGGACCTCTGCTATGGCTATTTCCCTATAGATAGATAGATATTTAGTTCTGGGCACGTAGCAGAAGAGGCAGACTATTGAGTGTGGTAGATTGTTTGGTCAGTCCCAGTCCATGAATCCTGGCAATGACCATTCCCAAATCCCAAATTGTCAAGACCACCAGCATACTAAATGGTCAAGGGAAAACAGAGGTCCATGACAATGAGGGAAGAGAGATGACTACAGGCAGGGTGCTATGAGTACCTGAGACCACCTAAGGCCAGAACTGCATGGACTCCAGGACCTTCAGCCCATCTATCAACATCCTTCTGAACGCAACATACTATATATGCTATTTCCCCCCAGTAGAATGTAAGCTCCTCAAGGGCAAGGGTAGGGCCTAGCATAGTGAAAACATAGATTTGATTTTGCTAAAGTATTCATTAGTGGCTTTCATTCTGGAAGGATAAATCTGTGCTCTACCCAGCTGAAATTTGCTCCTTTCCATAGGAAGCAGAGTCTTGCAAATGGGAATAGGAGATGGGGACTGGACATGTGATTTCAAGGGTATAGGGAACTGCCAGGTGAGAAAAACAACTCTTTCTACTGATGCTGGCTGGTACCTTCTCCTCAACTTAAAAGTCTTAGTTGCCTAGAGCCCAAGAAGTGACTTACCCATGGTCACAAAGCCAGAATGGGTCAGAGGCAGGTCTTGAACCCAGGTCTTCCTGGCTGCCTTTCTACTCACACCCCCATACTGCCTTTCTTTGTACACAGCAGTCATTTAATAAATGCTTATTGAACTGAATCAAATCTCATTCAATTATTGACATTTGAATGGAAAAACGGAACCTAAGGTCAAGGTTGAAAAGTTTTATTTGTAAATAGTTTGTGCCCATAGGGACAGGCCTCTGAAGTATTTTTCTCTTTGAGGTCAGGGTTGGATTTAAATCCCACCTCTGACCCACCTTGGGCCTCAGTTTCCTCATCTGTAAAATGAGGTTGGGCTAGATGGCCTGTTAGTGCTATATTTGTAATCTTATGCTTATCTCATTGTTTTGTATTTGTATTTCCAGCGCTCAGCACATAATAAATAATAAATAAATGCTTTTAATTTCATTCATTTATTCCTCCGTGGGATCTAATGCTTCAGGATTTATCCTCTATATTGCCCACTGGAGCTTCCCTAGAGCACTCCAAAACCATGGCAAATAGGGAAAAGGCCTTGACTTCTCTCTGGTATAAATCTGCCTCAAATCATAAAGAGAGAAGTGGAGAGAAGGGAAGGAAAAGAGAGGAGTGGGAAAATCTCCGTTGACTTTTCGTTGGTGTGAACAGGCATTTAAATCCAGCTGGGATGTGCTTGGTGTTGGCTAATACACCTGTGGGCCCTGCCCCTGGGGAAGATTGAGGTGGGTGGATTGTTTGAGCTCAGGAGTTCTGAGGCACAGTAAGACTGATTGGGTGTACAAACTAGGTCTGGCACCAATATGGTGAGCCCTAGGTAGGGGCTTCATGAGGCAGGTCATTAACTGGGGCAGGTCAAAGATTCTGCACTTTGATCAATCATGGGATTGGGCCAGTAAGTGGCCACCATTCTTCCAACTGGGCAAGATGGAGACATCTGGTCGCAAACAAACAACAAGCAACCCAACCCAAAACAAAACAGAAAGAATATTGAGATTTTGCCAGGAGTGCCCCTAGCTCCTGTTACTTCCAAAAGTGGGCTAACATCGATTGGTAAGACAGTTCTGTACAAATGAATAATTTAGACCAAGATTTCTGGGTCACTTTGAGTAGACTCTAGTTGTAGAAAAATGAAGACCAAAGACATCTGTCCAAAAGTTTTCTCATTCTTCCCCCAAAGAAGACAAGATACAGGATTACACAACTAGTAGAAAGTCACAGCGATAATAAACAAAATAGAATTGAATTCTGCTGCTCTATTCCTCAGTCCTCTTTGAGTTGGAGACAATCAGCCTCCTGCCCAACAGAAACATCAGCAGGCATCAGAATCATGGACAAGCCTCGGCTCCAAAGTCATCTCACTTAGGGGTGAGGCTTGAGACCCTGCACAGTGGCTGGTGTCCCTGGGGGTGGGGAAAAGCATCCGAGATGCTTCTGATTATCAATTGGAAAAATCTTTTCAACATGGTTGCTTTTATTTGACCCTTGCCATCCACCCCTGGGGGCTGGCATCCTCCTGCTGCCCCAAGCTCCGCTTCTTCTTAGAGGCAGCCCAGAACTTCTTGAGGCAGGAGGCTTTGTGGAGAGACCTGAGCTGCCATGCTGGCCCTATATCACCTTGTGGGGGATGCAGCCCTCCACCGTCAGTGCTTCTGGCCACCCGTCATATTTGTTCTGCTGTGGCTTGTTCTTTAAAATCTGTGAAGAGATGGAGAATCTGGTCAACAACTGTGATGTGAGGCTATCCAAGGGAAATAAGAATCGTAGCTAGCATTTGTATCACATCTACTATGTGCCAAGCACTGTGCGAAGCATTTTACAAATATGATCTCATTTGATCCTCACAACAACCTTGGTGCTGGAATTGCCCCCATTTTATAGTTGAGGAAACCAGGTTAAGTGACTGAGGTTAAGGGACATCCAACTAGTCCATACCTGAGGCTGGATTTGAATTCAGATCTTCCTGACTCCAGGCCCCGTGCTCTATCCACTGCACCACCCACTGCCCATTCTCCCTAGGAAGAACCATGTCATAGTGTCCCTGACCCTCGGAGTATAGACTGAGAGCTGGAAGGTCCCTCAGAGGCCAACACATCCAACTTTTTCATTTTACAGATGAGGAAATGTAGGCTCAGAGAGCCAATGTCTTGTCCAAGGCCACACAGGTAGCAGGTAATGCATGGGGATAATCCTTTTTATTTTTGAAAGTGCCTTTGCAGGGCAGCTAGGTGGCACAGTGGATAGAGCACCAGCCCTGGAGTTAGGAGGACCTGAGTTCAAATCCAGCCTCAGACATTTGATACTTACTAGCTGTGTGAACCTGGGTGAGTCACTTAACCCCAGTTGCCTCAAAAAAAAAAAAGAAATAAAATGCCTTCACACATATTTTCTTGGTAGGTATTAGGGCACAGTGGATGGGGTACAGGGCCTGGAGTAGGGAGATCAATGTTCAAACCCCAGCTCAGACACTCACTACTTATATGACTCTGGACAGTTCCTTCACTCCTCTGTGCCTCAGTTTCCTCATCCATGAAATCAAGATAGTATTATACACCTTCCTTCCAGGGTTATTATGAAGATCAAATGAGATCGTATGTGAAACCTCAGTGTGCTATATAAATTCTAATTGGTTTTTTTTCAGCACCTCATTCTTCAAGCACCTTTATCATCAAACCTTGAGTTCCCAATGCCCCTCCTACTACCTTTATCATCCTCAGGACCTTCCGTTAAAACTGACTCATCTTCTGATTTACTCTCTTTACACTCTTGCTAAGTGATTGTGGCTAAGCCATTTTGGTGCTAATGTCTTAGCAAGTCACCTCTCCCAGATAACAGATTTCCATTTTAAGAGAGGTCTTCAATGCCATCAGCCTAAGGAAAGACTAATAGGTAAATTTAGCACATTTAGGCTGGTCTAATGTGGGAAAGATTTTAGGGCCCAAGAAGGGCCCCTTCAGGATCTTAAAAATTGCACCGAAGAGTCACTATCTTCTCTACCTCCAAGTAGGGTCAGTCCCAGTCAGAGGAACAAGATCATGGAAATGACTGAATTGTCCACAGACAAGATTTCTATTGAGGGAGATCTGACCCAGAAAGTTTTTAACATTTCACTCAGAAATACATTTGCAACTGGCAGAAACTTAGACCCCCTCTCCCCTCCCCAGAGGACAATAATAAAGTCCAGTCCTGGTGGAAGACTGGGGGGGGGGGCAAACACACAGAGAAAAATCAAGAAAGAAATTCGCTTACTAGGCTCCTGTCTACATATTTGTCCATTTAACAGTCAATCTCTTCCATCTGCAGTACCCCCACCAAGGTATTGGGTTGCCATCTGGCTATGGTAACTCCTTGGCCTGTCACTGAATAAATAACTTGTTTATAGCTCACAAGGAGGTTTGAATTCTATTTTAAAAGAAGCGTTTGCACAGTCTGATACTTAACACAAGGTCTAACTTATACTGAGTATCTCATAAATGCTTGTTAACTGACCAATTGACTTTCTTGTGCTTGCCCTATGAATAAGGAGCCTGGTATTGGTTAAATTAACAAATGTTTAGCCCTCTCAACAGCTCTGGAGACAGGCCCCCAGTGAGTTTCCCAACTATCCCTCCTGGCTCCAGGCGTTAGCTAAGCACCCTTACTTCTCCTGACCTATGATCTATCCCTTATCCAAGTTTTTTAAGATAAAAACTCTTGGGCAGAATTGTGAAGCTCCTGGCCTGCCTGAAGCAGATCAGAATATACTTTGGGAAGTATTTGACAACATAGATTAGGTTAATTTGTGATTCTGTGCCATTTTTGTATCCTCTTCTATATGAGTTTGACACAACTGCTCTTGGGGACCCAATATAGATGTACGACTCAGAAGATCATCCACTTTGGGTTCCTTTGTTATGGCTATTAAAGTTCATGGAACCACAAAAATGAAGCGAGAAAGGACTTTGGAGACTCTCTAGTCCAGCCTCCTTATATTACAGATGAGGAAACCAAGGCACAGAATGGTTAAGTGACATGCCCAAGGTCACACAGATTCTAAGTGTCATAGGTAGGATTTGAACCCAGGTGGCTCTTCTCATTGTTCTATCCTGCTTCTCTGTTCCAGCAGGTCCTGCCCCCCAGGATGCCTCAGACTAACTGTAAGCCCTCATCTCAGACAAACTATATGGGATAATACCTCTTCAAAGGGACTTTTTCCGCTGATGTCTTTGGCACCCAAGAAGACCCAGCTGTCGCGGAAGCTAACACTTTCTGCATAGGTACTTCCTAAAGCAGTGAGTAACTTTCGAGCTTCTGGGTTCAATCTGAAAAGTCAAAAGAGAATACAATCTGTCATCACTTGGTACAGGTGATTCTGTGTCTCCAGGTAGAACACAATTGTGCTAGGGATGGCATTGAGAACTCCTCCCCACTTGGAAATCCTCCTCAGCCCTTACAATGAGTTACAATTGCCACCTGCCCTATAACATAAAAGATAGGTCCTAAGGAGTTGTCTGAGGCTCAAGGAAGGTGAAGGAGAAGAGAGAGGAGAGGAGGAAGGGGAGGGGAGGGGAGGGGAAGAGGAGGGAAAGGGAGGAGAGGGGAGGAGAGAAAGGGTAGAGAAGGGAAAGAAAAGGGAGGGGAGGGAAGGGGAGGAAGGGTAGAGGAGGGAAAGGAAAGGGAGGGGAGGGGAGAAAGAAAGGAGAGGGAAGGGAAAGGAGGGGAGGAGAAGAAGGGGAGAAGAGGGAAAGAGAGGGGAGGAGAGGAAAGGAAGGGAAGTGGAGAGGAAGGGAAATGGAAGGAAAGGGAGGGAAGGAAAGAGAGGAGAGGAGGAAGGGGAGGGGAGGGGAGGAAGGGGAGAGAAGGGAAAGGAAAGGGAGGGGAGGGAAGGAGAGGAAAAGGAGAACAGGAAAAGAGAGCAGAGGGGAAGGGAGTGAAGGAAAAGAAAGGTAAGGAGGGGAAGGGAAGAGAGGGGAGGGTAGGAAAGGAAGGGAAGGGGAGAGTAAAGGAAATCGAGGGAAATTGAGGGAAGGAAAGAGAGGAGAGGGAGGGAAAGGAAGGGGAGGGAGCTCCTTGACTTGGGATTCTTTGTTCAAAAAGTGAGGCAGAAGGCAGTATATTTTATAGGAACAGCCCCAAAGGGGGACCAAGGAGGGCCCAAAAGCTACTTTTCAGAATGGATAATCTGGTGGGATGCTGAGTGATTTTGTACTTACTTTGAGGCTGGGTCATCATATGAGGCCACCAGTACTAGGGTTTTCTCTGGAATTTCTTTTAGGAATGTCAGTAAAGGATCAATATCTGTTGGAGAGGAAAAAAGAAAAAAGCATAAGCTAGAGGTCAGGTGCATCTTCTATCTCCTTAAGCACTTGTGCTCTTCCCCATCTCTGGGCACTCTTCTCTCCACCCCTTATTGACAGAAAAAACCTCCCACTTTCCATTTTAGGGTCTCATTAGAAATACAAGCTTCCAAGATAGGTGATCAACCTGTTTTGGACTTCCATTCAGTCACAACAGTCTTCTTACATGGATGGACCTCTTAGTTTCTTCAAATGTCTCCTTATGTTTAGTAGCCAAACTAGACAGGTTGGGAATAGTGGAAAGAGCACTGGGTCTGGTGTCAGATGATCCAGGTCCAAATCCTGACACTGTGGCTTACTTCTAAGGGTGACCTTGGGCCTCAGTTTCTCCATATACACAATAGGGGTGGGTTGGACTAGATAACCTCTAAGGCTCCTTCCCACTTTAGATGCAGTGAAGCTGATGGTTCTTCTAGGAAGCCTTTCCCGAACCACCCCAGGCCTCCTAGGGAGGATGAAGAGAATGAATGATCCTCCCTCTGTTGGGCATTCCTTGTCTTCGCTCTTAATGTCTCTCCATGCCATCCCTCCCCCCTCCCCAGGGCCGTAGTCTTGAGAATGTGTCTTAGTATCCTAGAATTATAATAGGTATGTGTAGCCATCCCACACAGCATTACAGGGCTTTCCCCCCAGCTAGGGGCAGAAATGGGGCTGTAGGATGGAGGGCATTGGGCCTGGATCCGTCCTTCTTCCTACTCTGGCACTCTATTTGTCCTCAGATAAGCAGAAAGAAGTCTGAGATTTTTATGGACACCTCACCCCCTTGCCCCAGCCTGGTCCCTTTTTCCCCATGAAGGGGAAGAAACCACAGAAACTGTACCTGTCAGGTAGCGTGATCAAGGTCTCCAAACTTGTCTCCTTTTCCAAGGGCATTCTGGGGACTTTCCCAGTGCTTCCCCAATTCCTATCCAGGCTCTTTTCTGACAGAAGCTACTCAGCCCTAGATGGTCCTTCCCCACACCATGACAACTGGTATTTTTAAAAATGAAGCATCCTTTGCATTTGTCTGATTCTTGGGATGAATGTCTGCTCTCTTTCTGTGCATGTGCTGGCCACCTCCTCTTCCTTTAGACCCCAGTTTAGGCTGCCAGGCAGCCTGCCTGGATGTCCTCTGCTCAGAGCTGCCTCACCTTCCTGATAGCCTTAGAGCCCTCGGGATCCTCGATTCACTCCAAATCCCATACTGCCTTCTCTCACTCTGGCCTCTTGAAACCACTTTGTATTGGCGGTGACTTACTTGCATAAATGTTGTATAGTCAACCCATCCCCACAACTAAGGAGAATGCCCTTTGAGGGCAGGAATTTAGAATTCGATTTTTTTTTTCAAATCCTGCTAAAAAATCCAAATGGTATAATGAAAAAAAGGATCTCTATATAAATATATCCACTCCTAATTGTAGCCTGGGGGAAGGGGAAAACCTATAAGGAAGCAAAGGTAGACAGCTCTCAACACAATTCATAGTATTATAGGCTTTCTTGAAATGGAAATTTATTGCTATGTATTTTGAATCCTCTCTTAAATTCTGCTGTGCACATCAGATTTTTTTCATTTCTCATTTTATATTTGTTTTAATATTTAAGTTTATGTGTTTCTTTTTCTTTTCACATTATGTATTTAAGTTTTAGTATTTAAATCTAAAAGAAAAAAAGGAAAAAGGATGAATCTGGAGTCTATTGGACGTGGACTCACACCTTTCTGCCACTGATGTTTTAAAAATCTCTCAGTCTTCAGCACCTGATACAGTGCTGGGTACCTGGTAGGTGTTGTTGAATTGAATTATTTGCATACACCATTGCTTCCCCTGACTCTCTCCATTAGACTTTTAAGCTCCATGAGGGAGGGACCTATATTATTTTATATTCTCAGGGTTGAAGACAGGACTAATTACATTTATGTTGTTTTATTTGGAGAGGGTGGGGTCTGGACCTGGATTTCATTGGCATAGGAATTCCCAGTGAGGAAATGCTCTTCACTGATGCACATTGGTGCCTGATTTGCAGTTTATTGACCTCTTTTGGATCATAGACCTCTTGGCAGTCCAGTGCCTAACACAATGCCTGGCACATAGTAGCTGCTTAATAAATGCTATTGAACAACTAACTGGTAAAGCCTAGGGATCTTTTCAGAATAGTCTTTACAGATGTGGAAACTGAGGCCCAGAGAGTTTAAGTGATTTGCTAAATGTCATACAGGTGGTAAATGTCAGAGCTAAGATTTAAATATGATGCACAAACTAAAATACATAGAATTACAAAGGAAACTATATTAAACTAGTTATCCAAATCTTAAAAAAAAAGTTTGTGGACGCCAGGTTAGGATATCTGTTGTAGTGGAGACTTGGCTGGGGCACTGAAAATTTAAATGACTTTTCAGGCCCCTGATACCATGGCTGCCCCTCACCTGGCATATAGGTGGTGCTTAATAAATGTTTGTCCATTTGAACAGAGTAAGTATCATCCATTTCCTCAAGTTACTAATTGGATGACAAGGTCTGGATCTTTCTTGGACCATCAAATGGCTTTCTGAAAACTGAAGTTCTTTTGTTAATTACCCTATGAAACACTCCCTGCTTTCAAAAGGGGTGGGGAAGAGGGATACAATATTTATACAAGTAAGTAAATATTGTTCTTCTCTGAAAACAATTTTCCTCTTTGTCTCTGTGGGAAGGAAGTATCTTTTTAAAAAAATCACAATCCTGTTATAGCTTTCAGGTACTATTACCTCAAAAGTTTATATTTTAAAACTCTGCATCTCCATCTTCCCCCATCTGACCACTACCTCCTTCCTGGTGAATCATCTCAAGGGAGAAGAGTCAAATCTATAATTTTTGAAGGGGACCTCAGAAGTCATCCTGTCCAATCCTTTCATTTTACAGATGAGGAAACTGAGGCTCACCCAGGTGGTAAGCATAAGATTCAAGATTTGAACTCAAACCCTCTGGTACTAGAGCCAACTATTTGGAGTGAAAATTTTTCTTCCCTCAGAGTCTATACTTTCACAGAGGATAGCTGGGCACTTTTCTGGATGTGGGTGTCTGGAAGGCTTGGCCACAGTTTAGAGAAGGGACTGGCAGCAAGAAAGCCCTCAAGAGTACTGATGAATTTTTATTTGTAGCCATGGGATCTTAGAATGCTAGGTTTTAGAGTCCAACCTCCTTATTTACAGATGAGGAAGCTGAGTCCTAGAGAGGTGAAGTGATTTCATTCAAGGTCACACAGGTCCTTGGACTTCAAATCAAGAAAAATCTGGAGGTCTTGAGTGTTTTCCAAAAATGGCCCATTGATGAACATTTCTATCTTCCACTGGCCAAATGAGGTAACATACATGAAGCACTGTGCGAACCTTAAAGAGCTGTCTATGCGTTAGCTCATTATTATTTTTTATCTTCTTAAACTTTATACCAAGCAGATCAGAGGTAACATCTTTATCACGTTAAAAGGTTCATCTTTCTGGGTCCACAGGCTCTACACAGTGATGCTTGTTTGTTCTCTCTCTCAAGGGAAACCTTTCCCTGCAACTGGTCAGCCGTGGTAGGGATGGAAATGGTGAGTCCAAAGGATAATGCAGGCCCTTCCTGGGGGTGCCCAGGCCCTCCTACGGCGAGCAAAAGCAAGGCCAATTCTTGTAAGAGAGGAGCAAGAAAAAGAAAGCTTGGCAGGCTGGGTTGTTTTGTTCCTCTCTGTGGGGAACCATTCCCCAGGATCAATGGGCTGTATTTGTTCTGCAAAACTTGAGTGCAGCCCATGAAGGGAGCCAGCTAAGTTAATTAATGTTGCTCTTCAGCCCCTGGGAGCAGTACAGTGCTGCCTCCCACCCCCCTCTCCCACTCTTGGCCAACCTGGGAATGCAGAATGTGAAAGATTATGAGAGAGTCAAAGCCAAGTTCAGCAGCTCTGAGGAAAGGAAACCTTTCTGCATTAACAGATGGAAGGCCGAGTGCTTTCCATGTGCCAAGCATTTTCCCTTGGCTGGGGCGCATTTCCATATTTCTGGCAGCCCGTCTTACTGATGTACCATGGCACAGTTATAGCCTCCATTTCTGTGTGTACCCCAAGCCTGAGCCCTGGGCTTCTCTCTCCATTTAAGCAATCAATCCATCAATCAGCATTTATTAAACACCTACTACATGCCAGGCACTGTGCTAAGCACTGGCAATACAAAAACAGGCAAAGGAGGAGAGGGACTTCCAGCGACCCAGAAAATCCACCTGCCAGGCTGAAGGGGAAGTTGGTTTGGTGGCTGATGCTTTATAATATCCTTTGTCCCCAAAGCTTTCTAGTGACAAAGCTGTTGTGTCAACTTCTATAAGAATCCTTTCTTGGCCCTTAGAGTTTTTTTTTAAAAAAATGATGTCTCCATTTCTGAATATAACCTTCCCCTAGGTTACCCTTTGCTTTCTAAAAAATTGAATCTGTAATGTTATGGGCGTGGGGAACCATTAGTTAGGAAAGTTCCTCTACCAAGGAAAATTGCAACTTATTCTGCAGCTAGCTTACGGTCTTAGAGAGCTGAGAGTCTTCTTAGCATACAGTAAGTGCTTGATAAATGCTTTTTCATTCACTCATTCAAAGAGAATAATGCTCTCCTCCGGTACTGGACATTATGCTACATCGCTGTGTGTCATAGTTGGGAGGGGGCCAGCCAGGGAGTCCAGAAGACCTGAGTACCTGTGTCATCTTGGGCAAATTGTTTGACCTCTAATTGTCTCCAGAGATATTATCTAAGAACTAGGTATAACAGGAGTGCTGATGCGGATGGCGTTGGTGGTTGGAGTTTACACAATGGGAATTTGGATGAAGTCATAGGTAGGGAATAGCCCCAAAAGCTGTATTCCCATCCCACATTCATTCCTTATTGATCTAAGAGGGTGCGGCAGTGGAAGAATTGGAGTCAGGACACTTGGGTTCAGATTCTACTTGGCTTAGTGTGGTTGCTTAATTTTTCCGAACCCTTGTCCCTTTACCTGGAAAATGGGGATACTTGAACAACTTGCTGCTGGAACTCTTTTGAGGGAGGGTAGGGGGTTCTTCAAGTGCATGTTGGACTCAATGCCTTTCAAGTCCCTTCCAGGTTCCTTGGAGATTTCCTTCCATCTATACCTATCTCTATGTCATATGGACGCAGTTATTTGTGTGTCACCTCCCCCATTAGACTGTGAGCTTCTTGAGGGCAGGCACTATCTTCTGGTCTTTCTCTGGTCCCCAACATTTAGTGCCAAGCCTGGCCGATAGTAGGTGCTTAATAACTGCTTGTTGATTCTATGATGGAGTCCATCTTCTTCCCACCAGACCTGCCTCTTCTCTTGACTTCTCCATTGCAGTTAAAGACACCAGAATCCTTCTCGAGTCTCCGAATGTCAGAATCATCTCAGAATCCTCCCTGTTCCTTGTGATCCAGGCAACTCCTGAGTCCTCTTGGTTCATTTGTCCTATCTAACCCCTTCTGTGAAACTCACATCAGCCCCACTCCAGTTCAGACCCTCATTCAGGTGCCCCTCCCCTCCCCACCCATGGAAGGTCTCTCTCTGGTCCTCTTTCCTTCACACCACTTTGTTGGCACCTTTCTAATGCACTTAGCATATGCTAATTTCTACGCTAATTATAAAAATACCACAGTGCCTGGCACATAGTAGGCACTTAATAAATGCTTATTGACTGATTGATTGTCATTATCACACAGCTTGTTGGTGTATGAGACAAGATTTTGAAGCCAGGTCTTCCTAACTCCCATGCCAGATCTCCATTAGACCGTGGCTGCCTCTCTGTGTATCTTAGCTTTGCAACTGACTGACCAATCAATCAGTCCATAAGCATTTATTAAATACCTACTGCATTCTGGGCACCGTGCTAAATGCTGGGGAGACAAAGAAAGGCAAAAATAGCACCTCCCCTCAAGGAGCTCACCGTCCAATGAGGGAGACAATATTACCAACAATTATAGACAAGCAAGTTATAGATAAGATAAATTGGAGATAATGTCAGAGGGAAGGTGCTAGCATTTGGGGGAGGGAAAAGGCTTCTCTTACAAATTAAAAATAATTTCTGTTCCACTAAGTGGCAATGGAACACAGTGGTTAGAGTACTGGACTTGGAGTCAGGAAGGCCTGCATTCAAATCCTGCCACATCTCAAATCGATTAGCTGAGTGACCCTGGGCTTAACCCTTAACTCTTAGTTTCTTCATCTGTAAAAGGGGATAACACCTCCAGTAGCCACCTCACAGGGTAGTTGGGAGTCTCCAGTGATATGACATGTAAGAAGTGTTTTGCAAACTTGAAAATGCCATAGAAATGCCACTTATCACTGTTCCGATGTATTCCCCACATCACCGGCACAGTCCAAACCAGACAACCTTTTGCAGAATGTTAATTTCAATATGAAAGTGAATACTTACCTCCTGAGAACATATCGAAGTATTCGTGTTTCTTGAGAACTCCTGTTGCTCCTAAGGGTAGAAATGAAAACACAATCATCATGAACTCCTATAGCTCAGGTTTTATCTAACTATGACATCAGAGAAAATAGCTTCTAGTGACTCGACAAGTTGGACAGATATGAGACATTACTGTGTGGGACCTTCTGGCTACCTCAGATGGAGCCATCCATCCGTCCTGTGTATCCCCACTTACATGGCCACCCCATTCAGAATTGGTCTTGGAAAAGAAACAACAAAGCTCCTTGTGACTGGATGAGGGGGATGGCTGCTGGTTGCTGGCCTTCTCAATTTTAAGAGACCAGTGTGTCTTTCTAAAGCACCCCCCCCAAATTTGCATAGAACTTGAAATGCAGGTGTGATGTTGTCTCCCACACTCCAAGGCAGCTGAGCAAGAAGGGAAGTCAGGGGCTCACAGGATCCAAGATCTAGGGCTAGAGGGGGCCTCAGGGCCCAGTCTGTCCCACTCCCTCATTTTATAGATGGAGCTGATGCCTGGAGAGAGGAGCTGATTTGTCGTGAGACGCTCATAATAAGGGGAAGACCCAGGATTCCTCTGACTCCAAAGCCAGAAGACTGTGTCCTGATGAGACTAGAAATAGCAGGAACAGGGTCCATTCCCTCCCTATCTCTGTCCATCTCTCCCCAGCCCCTTTCCCTCCCTGTCTCCCTGTCTCTCTCTCTCCCTCCTTCTCTTCCTCCCTTCCTCTTCTCTCTCTCCCTCCCTCCCTCCCTCCCTCCCACCCTCTTCTCTCTCTCTCTCTCTCTCTCTCTCTCTCTCTCTCTCTCTCTCTCTCTCTCTCTCTCTCCTCTCTCTCTCTCTTCCTCCCCCCCCCGGCTCTGGCTCCCTCTCCCCTTCCCCCTGACACACTTCCCCCTCTTTTTTTCTCTCTGGCTCCCAGCTAGGCGGCCATGTCTGGTTTTCACCTTCTTTGTTAGGTTCTCAGCCAGAGAAGCTGCTTCTTTCTCCTCTTTCCCCCTCTCTCTTGATTCTCTCCCTTTCTCTCAAGCCACTGGCCTGGCCATATCTTCATTTCTCTTCCCCTTCTTCTTTCTCTGCCTGGAGTTTAAGGTTTACGCTGGTAGCCTGCTTAATCTTGTGTCAAATTAGCCTGCTGGACTCTAGGAGACATACCCTAATTTATAACCCAACCTCATCTTCTTTGCAGGGATGCTTTCTTTGTGTGAATCTGTAGCGTCTCAAGCTAGAGGTGCCATTTTTGATGGATTTATATGTGTCTGTTGAGATCAGAATTTCCCTGGGAGTCTCTGTGTTTGCAAGTGCTCATTAAAATTCCCTTTGAAAGCTTTACCTGAGGGAGGCTCATAGAACCACAGACAGCCCATTACAACACTCAATCTGTCTTTTGCTTTGAGATATGGGGACTTGCTAGCTGGGAAGGAAATTTTTTTGAGATGCAAAGACAGAACCAAAAATGATACAGATCCTGTCCTCAACAAGTCTATGTTCAGATACCAAGCCCTTGCTTATGCTTTTCTCTTATTTTTTTTTAAATAACTAATGAGCATTCATTTTCTTTGCCCCTGTCCCTCACCGGGAGAAAAAAAATCAAAACCCTTGAAACTAATCTATGTAGTCAAACAACACAAATTCTCACATCAGGTGGATTAAGCACTAGCCCTGGAGTCAGGAGGACCTGACTTCAAATTCAGCTTCAGACACTTGACACTTACTAGCCATATGTCCCTGGGCAAGTCACTTAACCCCATTGCCTAGCCAAAAAAATAAATTCTCACATCAGTCAAATCCAGGGAAGTGTGTTTCCTGCACCTTGAGTCCATCATCTCTCTGTCAGGAGATGAGTCTGCTTATACTCTTCATTCCAAACCGAGGTACTATCCGGTGCTTGATTCAGGACAAGCTAGATGGTCTCTCCTGCAAATCCTCTTCCTTTCAAGGACCTTTGCAGATGTGAATACAGACTTGCTATGGTATTAGGAGCCATAGGTCTGAAACCAGAAGGGACCTCAGAGACCACCTAGCCCTTCATTTTACAGATAAGGAAACTGAGGCCAAGGCAGGTTAAGTCACTTGCCAAAGGTCACACAAGTAATAAACACTGGAAGTGGGATTTGAACCCAGGTTCATAATGGCCCTAGTGGGTAGAATGCTAGACATAGAGTCAGGAAGACCTGCCATAGACATTAGCCATACTAACCCGAGCAAGTCTTTTATGCTCTCTGAGCCTCAGTTTCTTCATCTGGAAAATGGGGATAATTTATAACATTAATGATAATCGTTAGCTAACAGGATTGTTGAGAAGACCAAATGAGTCTCTGCAGACCTTAATGACCCACCTAAATGCCAGTTATCATTATTATCTTTAGACAGCACTCATAATAAGGAGTCAGAGAGTGGAGGGAGGCATCTGGATTTGGGGGAAAGAGGTGGGTTTAAATCTCACTTCCAATGTGTGTTATCTGTGTAAGCTTGGGTAAGGGCCTATGCTACTATTGGTTTTTATTGTTGTTGTTGTTTTGCTTTGTTTTGTGGGGCAAAGGGGTTAAGTGACTTGCCCAGGGTCACACAGCTAGTGAATGTTACATGTCTGAGGCTCGATTTGAACTCAGGTCCTCCTGACTCCAGGGCTGGTGCTCTAGCTACTCTGCCACCTAGCTGCCCCTCTACTATTTATTGTTCTTTCATGTTTGCTTTTTTTTGGCAGACTCTTGCTCACATGGATAAAATGATGATGACCAAATCAACAAGCATTTTTATTAACCTCTCTTGGCCTCAGTTTCCTTATCTGCAAAATGAGGGGACGGCCTGTGAGGTCATTTCCAGCTCCAGATGGATATTTCCTAATTCTATAGCAAGCCTATATTCCCATCTGCAAAAGCCCCTGAAAAAACAAAGAATTATTCTGTAGACAGAGCACCTGTCTAGTTGTCCCTATCCAAGAACCTGATGGTGCCTGGGTTTGGAATAGAAAGACAATCAGGGTCTCAAGTCCCGATAGAATGTAAGCTCCTTGAGGGCAGGATTTGTTTCATTTTTAAATTTTGTATCCCCAGTGCCCATCCCAGGGTCTGGGACATAGTAGGCCCTTAATAAGCATTTAGAGATTGGCTGGCCTCTACTTTTGTGGTCTCTGGTTTCCTTCAAGACTTATGTCCTTCGTGCATTCTTTCCTGGTGCCCTCAGCTGCTGGCACACCTCTTCCTAAAACTAGTGGGTATTCATTTTGTATATATGTGGCATCTACTCGTATGTTCATTGTATCTTCCATAAGAATGGGAGCTCCTTGAGGGCAGAGACTTGGGTTTTCTTTCTTTGGTATCACCAGTGCTTAGCATAGTGCCTGACACACAGTTGGAGCTTAATAGATGCTTTCTTATTAAGTAGAAAAAGGCATTGAACCTGGAGTCAAAGGCTTACTTTTGGCTCTGCTGCTCACTCCCAGCCCTCTCCTGTCTCCGCGCCTCATTTTCCTCATCTATAAGATGAGGGGAGGTTGGCATGAGCTCTTCCTGCTTCCAGCTCTAAGTCTACAAAGTTCTAGGAAAGGCAGATGGAAACCAGACTAGCCTCAATGAAGAACAGACTGTTGTTCTTCCAGAATTCACTAGATGGCAGTGTTGTAGAAGAGATGGGGTAAACCCCAAACACGTGGGAAGTTTTCTTTTGCAGAAACTTTTAGGTGCAGGATGGAAGCTGAGTCCGTGGGGCTCTTTGTACCATGTACCATGATGATTAAAGACACTCCCCCACGCCCAAGGAATGGGCAGTCCTCACCCTCGAGGGCTTGCAGGGGTCTCAGCAATTAGGAGAACTCTGCAAATCTTAAATACTCATAAACTCCAGTGGATCTCAGATTTCCCAGTAGACATTTCCTCCTAGACGAAGCCTGGAACCTGTGCCTGCTGGCCCATCCATTCCGGGCTGATCCTTTTTCCCAGGGAGTTCATTCGACGTGACATTATGTGAATGCTTATGATGGTTATATCTCTTACTCTCACTAAGAGTCTGAATGAGTTATTATTTATTTTTATCCTCATGCTACATCTTATGGAGTTTAACTGGATCCAGGGACAGGTGCTGTCTAGCTCTTCATTGTCTTTCATGTTTGATTTTTGGCAGACTTCTGTTTCAGTGGATAAAATGATGATCAAATCAATAAATAAGCATTTATGAAGCACTTGCTGTGTTCCAGGTGCTGACAATGCAAGGGGGAGGAAGAAATAAGCATTTCTATAGCACCTACTATGTGCCAGGCACTGTGCTACACTCTTTACAAATATTCTCTCATTTCACAGCAATCCTGGGAGGCAGATGTTGTTCTTATCCCCATTTTACAACTGAGGAAACTGAAGCAAGCAGAGGTTAAGTGACTTGCCCAGGGTCACACAGCTACTAAGTATATGAGGATGGATTTGAACTCAGGTCTTCCTGAGGCCAGGCAGAACACTCTATCCATAGCATCAACTGTGTCTGATACAAAATACAAAGACAATGAAACAATCCTTGTCCTCCAGGAGCTTACTGTGGGCAGCTAGGGGGCGACAGTGCACAGAGTGCTGGGCCTGCAGTCAGGAAGACCTGAGTTAAAATTTGGCCTCAAGCACACCAGCTGTGTGATCCTGGGCAAGTCACCCTCTGTTTGACTCAGTTTCCACATCTCTGAAATGGGGATAAGAACAAGACTTATTTGCCACAGCTGTTGTGAAGATCAAATGAGATAGTTACGAAGTGCTTAGCACAGTGCCTGGCAAGTGGTAAGTGCTGTATAGACGTCAGCTATTATTATTCATCTGGCCTGGTGTTTCTGAGCCTTTCACGGGACTGTGGGACTTTGTACACTGCCCATAGCGGTTCCGTGAGAAAATGTGACATTTCCTTTGAGTATCTGCTGCTGGATGGGCTTCTAGATCTTCCTGATGCCAAGGAAGTACTCCCTACCCAGTCTGCACCACAACTGCTTGTTGAGGATGAGAATGCCTCACATCGCAAGGAACAGATTCCCAGATCTATACCCCCAGATCCACCTTGTGGTCTTGGGAAATCCAGCAAGTTTCAGAAGTCAAGGCAGAAAGTCAGCCAGTTATGTGGATTATCTGCTAAAAGAGCTTTTTATTTGTTCATCCATCCATCCATCCATCCGTCCGTCCGTCCGTCCGTCCGTCCGTCCATCCATCTATCTATCTATCTATCTATCTATCTATCTATCTATCTATCTATCTATCTATCTATCTATCTATCTGTCTGTCTGTCTGTCTGTCTGTCTGTCTGTCTGTCTGTCTGTCTCTGTCTACCTATCAATCTATCATCTAATTATCTATCACCTATCTACCCATCCATCCATCTATCTATCTATTATCTATCCATCCACCTGTCTATCTAGCTATCTAATCCATCATCTATTATCTATTTATTTATCTATCATCCATCCATCCATCTATCCATCAAGCTTTCCATCTGTTATCTATTATCTATCCATCTACCTGGCTATTATCTGTCTATCATCTTATCTAGTTATCTAATCTATCATCTACCCTTTTATCATGTACCTATCATCTATTTATCTACCCAGCTATCTATATGTATCATCTATTCAGTCATCTATTATCTATTTATCCATTATCTATCCATCTATCTGTCTATCTCCCATCTATACATCTATTTATTGTCTATATATGTCTACCTATCTATAACCTTACCTATTTATCTAATCTATTATTTATCTATCAATCTACCCACTTATCTATAATTTATCCATCATCTATCTAGCCTATATTTGTCCATCTATCTATATATCATCTATCCATCGTCTATCATCTATCTAATCTACCTGTCCATCTGTCTATATCATTTATCCATCCATCTATCATCTATACATTTTATCTGTTGTCTATCATCTCATCTATGTATCTAATCTATCATATATTTATCCCTCTGTCTAATTTATCTATTAATCTATCATCTATTTATCCCTCTATCTAATTTATCTATTAATCTATCATCTATTTGTCATCTATCTAATTAGTCTAGCAATCATCTATTCATCCATTTACCTATCATCTATTTATTTATCATCCATCCATCCTTTTATCACCCGTTCATATATCATCTTTCTATATATGTATCCCTCTGCATTAAGAATATTGAGAAAAATTCAGTATAGTCCAGAGTTCTTCCAACCTTTGGGGATTTTTAGAATTTTCAAAAACAGCCAGTGAGGGAAAGCTGGAGCCTGGCATTCACTCACTTTAACAGAAGGAAACCGTCAGGAGAATGCCAATTCCCTCCTTAAAGATGGAGTTTTGCCAAGGAGCAGACAAGTATAAAAACAGGGCTTACACAGGCTTCTCCAGGGGTGAGCTGGACATCTGCCTTCAGGTCTAGCACCTGCATTAACCTGCTTCCAGAGGGAGGCTTAAAGAACCAGTTTGGACTTTCACATTGCCTGTGCTAGGGCAGAAGCCTGGGACAGACATTCTCTCCTAGAACACCCTTTTGGGACTTGGAGGCCAGGACCTAGAGGGCAAGGTTGGGGGATGATGCTGACTGGCAACTTATCAGCTAAGTGGGATGAAGGAGAGTCCAGGATGACACTTGAGGTTGTTAATCTGGATCCGATTGGTGCCCTGGCCAAACTTGGGGTTGCTGGGAAGAGGGCTGAATTTTTGGAGAAAAATCTAAGCCTGTTTAGCTTGTGGGACTCATTATGTCCTGTCCAAACTAAAAAGTTGGGGTAGATGGCTCTTACTCATGGGTTACCTGTGAGATGCTAGGGGAGGTAGGGTTGGAGGAATAGGGTGAATCTGCTGGGGTGAGGGAAAGAGCAGGTGTTCCCCAAGGCTACCTGCAGCTGCAGGCTATAGGTAGCAGTGAGGTCATAGCTCCCCTGAGGGGACAAAACTGGCTTGGAGAGATGAGAGTGAAAGCTTGCCAGCCAGAAGGACAGAGAGTGGGTGAATACTGGGGGATCTGATAAAGGAAATTCTTCACTGGGAGCTCCTGATACAAGGAAATCACAGGCCCAGTTAAAAAATACATGCATATATATGTATATATATATGTATATATATGTATATATACATATATATATGTATATATATGTATATATATACATATATATATAAAATCTTTTTAAAATATGATATATACTATATTTAACATATTTTAAAATGTATGCCATACACGTATACCATATTTTTATATTACATATATTATATATTTTATAACACGCAAATATATACATATATTATACATTTTAAAATCTATATGATATAGATTTTAAACTACATAATATATATTTAATATATTTAAAAATCTATGATATATATGTAAAACAATATTATATATTGTATATTTTAAAATATATATTATATATATTGTGTGTGTTGTTTAATATGTATACGTGTAGAAACCTGTATGAGTACATGCTGTCTCCCTATGTATGTAAACTTTATTTTACAGATGAGGAAACTGAGGCTGGCAGAGGGTCAGGTGACTTGCCCAGGGTCATACAGTTAGTAAATGTTAGAGTCTCGTGGTCCTGTGCTCCTGGCCCCAGTCCTGGGCTCTTCCTACGACTACAGGCTTCTCTCCCTCCTCCTTCCCCCCACATCGATCCATCACAGTCCCCCTCAGAGTTAATGGGTTACAAGTCCTCAGAACACGCTTCACTGCATCTTTTAGAGGAAATGTTGATCTTTCTCCACAGAGTCGTCTTAGGTGATAAAAGCGATTTCTTCTCTCTTGGCCTTCCTTTCTCCCTTCCTGCCTCCTCTGCTATGAGCCAGACGCAGCCCATGGGGCCCTCCTCGAGTCCTGGCCCCTCTGAGCCGGAGGGGAGGCCGAGGATGGCGTGGCAGCATTCTGCACCCACTCTAAGGCAATGGTATCCAGTTGACTTCTCCTAAAAAGAATCAGGCTAGCCCTCCCTTTCCTCCTCTTCCCCCTTAATGCCAATCAGCCAGTGGCATCTTCCAGCCTACCAAGCCTAGTCACTGGATCTCAGACCCAGAGCCGGAAGGGACCCCAGTCCAACCTAGTCCAACCCCTCTTTTTACAGATGTGGAAACTGAGGCTCAGAGGGTAGAAGTAATTTGCCCATCATCCCACAAGGAGTAAATAACAGAAAGGAGGGAAATGCTTTAAGAGGAAAGGATGATCTGAGAGCTAGGTGGTGGGGGAGGGAGAGAGGGAAAACCAGATGTCGCCACATAGCCGACAGTCAGAGAGGAAGCTTGCTGATGTCCACTGCAAGTCAACGAGCCGCCCTGAGACCATGGGGTGCGGCTTCAGACAGCCCTTCACCCACTGATTTTCACAGCCCGTGCTGGGGCCTGGGTTCCCCTGCCTCCGCTACAGCTGACTCTGTCTTTGCAGAGACTCCAGACACACTTGGTGATCCTCCCTTGACTCTCATGGCCCCCTGAGCTCTGACTTGGACCGAGGATGGCTCCTCATTGCTCTCAGAACCCGGGCTATGTTTCTAAACTGAGCCCCGATCTTGCCTGGTGTGCAGAAGGAAGCTGGAAACCTCCCTGGCTGGGCAAGGAGAGCTGGGCCAAATCCTTCTCCTTGAACCCTGCGCCCTCCCCCCATTGCACAGACCCCTTCGGGGTTTGTGGAGGTATATATCTGGAAAGGGAAGCAGCCATGAAATAAAGAGCAATTTCTAGGAAGGTCTAATGGAAGAATGAGGAGAACTCTGGGCCTCAGTTTCTTTATCTGTAAAATGAGGGAGTTGGGTTTGATGACCACTAGGGTCCCTTTTGACAAAATTTTTGGTCTTATGACCCCCCTCCCCATAGTGGTTTAAAGAGTTGGGGGTCATAATAATACACTTCTCTAGACTCAGTTTCCTCACTTGTAGAATAATACTGACTGCCTCGTAGAGCAAGCCCAGCACAGTTAATAAAGGCCTGGACTTGAAGCCATCAAGACATATATTAGAAACCAGCCACTGGCATGTATGGCATTTGCACCTCTGCAACTCCAGAGAAGGCACTTAAGATCTCTGACCCTCAGTTTCCTCATCTGTAAAAGGGGGAAAATAGTGGCACCTACCTCCCAGGGATATTGTAAAGCACTCGGCAAACCTCTGAGAGTGCTATGGGTCTAGGCTAAAAGCTGCTTGAGGGTAGCAACCACATCTTGCCCTTCTAATGATTTTCTCTCCCAAGCTGCACCCTTCTCCAGCCTTGAGTACACAGTAGGTGCGTTATCAACCTTGCTGATCAGTTACTCACCATCCACCAGGGCAATGTTGAGTCCTCTGCCGATGTTATTTTTCACACCACTCATGAGTCTAGGGGAAGGAAGAAAAATTAGAGGCAGCAGCCTTGGCATGGACCTAAACCAGCCCTCAGGGCAGCCCTGGAAAGGGCCAGGGAGGACAAAAAGACAGACACCTGTGCAGATGGAGCTTGGCCATGGGTGTGTCCTCCGGGGAGCCTCCAATAATAGCCAGTAGTGGAGACAGTTAGCTCTCTTTCCATCTCATTGAATGGCAGATTGGTTAGAGGGGCAGCCATCAGAGCCTGTAAGAGCTGGATTCAAGTTTCACTTCTGCGACCAGTCACCTACCCTTTCTGTACTCAGGCAATGCTCTAAGGTTGCGGAGGAGATGCTGACCTGCGTTGGTCAAAGGGAGTGCCCTCACCCGGGAGTTCCCAGAGGAACCGCAGACCTAGCCCCCAGCTAGGCCCAGGCTTGCAGAGACCATTTGCTATGAAAAGACAAAGGGTGAAAACAAGTGGGTAACTAGGTCCTCTGGCAGAATAATCTAGAAAGCTCTACCTTGCCAGCATCTTTGCCTTCATTTAGAAGAGGAGGTTCCTTCTGGTTAGGACATTATTCTCCAAAATGAATACTTGTACATCACCTTGGTTAGGTTTAAGCCAAGTTTTATTAGTTGTAGTTCTTGTCTGATCAGAATGAGTGCATGTGATGTTTTGGGGTATATATGTAGGGAGGTCTCCTGGGGGGTTTCTGACACAGTCTCTTTTCCAGTTCTGGGGATACTCAATCTCAACCACTATCAGCTAACCAAGAGAGACAGCGTGGCGGAGTGGATGAGGGCAATGGGCTTGGAGTCAGGGTTCAAATCCTGCCTCAGACACTTATTAGCTATATGAACCTGAGTAAGTCACTGAACTTCTAATGCCTCAGTACAATGAGGGGGTCAAATCTGATGGCCTTTAAGGTCTCTTCTAGCTCTTTTTTTGTGGTGAGGTGGTTGGGGTTAAATGACTTGCTCAGAGTCACACAGCTAGAGAGTGTTATGTGTCTGAGGTCAGATTTGAACTCAGAACCTCCTGACTCCAGGGCTGGTGCTCTATCTACTGTGCCACTTAGCTGCTCCTCTTCTAGCTCTTAATCTGTTATCCTATGTACTGTTAACTGACTAGTCAGTACACAGGAATGAATGACCCGGCCGACGCTACTCACCATCATTTTGGGCCACCATCCCCTCCTGCCATGTGATCTACATTAGTGGGAGAAACAAGACCCTCTCTACACCTCCCACACTCCCCTGCTCCCTTGCCAAAGTCTTCTGGACTTATTTGGTGACTGGAAATCTGAATTCTCCAATGGATCCATTTAAATAACCATGAGATCGTGGTGCTCAAATGGCCTCAGGAGATGTATGACTCCAGACATGGAAAGAAAAGAGCGAGACCAGCTCTCTGGCTCAAAGGTGGGCAAGCAGCTGCTGCAAGACTTACATGTTGTCTTCAAAACATATGGAGGGTCCCACGACATTGGCAGCTCCGCTTGTGATCTTAAAGGCAAAGAAATCCTTCGGGCATTTCTTGCTGTTGTCGCATTTATTTCTCGAAGTCTCTGTGGGGAGAATATTAGTGTATTAGTGACACCCAAGAGAGGAAGCCATATGCAGACAAAGAAGAAGGGACTGATGGGGTTTTCCCCAGTACCAAACTGGGCCAATGCTCAACCAGTATCTGTTGAGTGAACAAACCAAGAAATGAAAAGCTATTTTAGGAGACACATTTTGGTGTGGGGGATGGAGAAGAGGTTTTGTGAACTGGGAAGAGCAAGCTTTAAGGTCTGCCTTTGACACATACTGGCTTTGTGGTTGTGGGCAAATTACTGGTCGCCTCTCAGCATCCTCTAACAACTCCCTAAGATCCTGTGTTGCTGAGATGGTGCCAACCTGTGTTGATAGAGGGTGTTTTCTCACTTGGGTATTCCCTATACTAGTGAAATCTCAGGTCTAGTCTCTATCCTCTGACTACCCCTATCCCTCAGGTCCCTATCCCTAATCCTGTGACTCCCTGGGTCTCCTGGCTATCATGCCAGAGATTCTCCTGAATTATTGGGGACCGTAAGACACCCACCACGCTGTCTTCCAATGGTACTTTCCAGATGGAAGAATGCTTTCCTCACAATGAATAAACCTGTAGGGTAGGTTTATTAATACAAAATTATAACCCCCATTTTACAGATGAATAAACTGAAGCCCGGAGTAGTTAAACCACTGGGTCCAGGTTCTACATGGAAGTATCTAAGGGGCTCTCCTGGAGTAGGACACCTGAACTCAGTGGCAGACCTGGCGAGCTTTGCCTACGGAATCTGCTCTTGTCCCCTGTCTCCAACTGGAACTCCACCTTCAGGAATGGACCTGTAGAAGACATGGTGCGGGGGTTTAAATTATGCAGGTTCAGAACTCTGCCCCATGGGTGAGTGAATGAGCGAAAGTCACCTGGCTGACTATAGCCAGCCACCCCCAGGACATACTTTCCTGTCTGTCCACCTCTTGCTTTCTGCCCTGGTACCACAGGGGTACCCCCTCCCCCATGATCCCTTTCCACCTCCTTTCTGGGAGCAGTCCTCAAACCTATCCTCCCAGTGGACAAGGCATGATAATCAGCTCCATGCTGTCTCCACTCACCATTCCTGACGACCCAGACCAAAGCTCTGCTTCCTGGCTCTCACTCCTCTATTTGTGCTGCCACCTTTTATGAGAATGTAAGCTTCCTGAGAGCAAAGGGTGTCTTATTGTTGTGTTTGTACCCCTAGCCTGGTATATAGTAGGTGCTTAATGAATGCTTTTTCCTTCCTTCAAGCCTGGCAACCATGATAGCTAAAAACAGCTGGCATTTACATAGTGTCGAATATTATTCCATTTTATCCTTAAAACACTCCTGGTAGGTACATGCTGTTATCATTCCTATTTTACAGATGGGGAAACTGAGGCAAACAGATTTTTTTTTTAAAGTGACTTGCTTAAGTCCACACAGCCAATAAGCATCTGAGGCTGGATTTGACCTCAGGTCTCCCTTACTTCAGGCCCAGCAGTCTATTCAATGGGCCCCCTAGCAACCTCAACCCCATGAGGTAGGAATTACAGAATTTCTTTTCCTAGTAAGGGCCTCAACCACCTCAAGGGCCCTTAGGGGGTAAAATCCGGCTGGCTTGTCAGACCATAGGAGACCTCTTGCACTTTTAATTGTTAAAATTACTCTAAAATCTCATCTGCAAATGTCACACTTTGGTGCCACATCCACCCTCCACACCCCTTTTAATGAGAGCACATAAAGAAAAATAGCTCTTTGAACCGTTGTCCCCTAGGGTAGTTTGCATGCAGGGGATGAAACCCGTGGCTTTCTGCCTGACAGGTTATAATTTATATTAATGTGTGGTTTTAACACTATCTGACAGTTCAGAAGGCATCATTAGGGAGAAGTGGATAAACTCCAAATTAGGAAATTTGGGGCTGTAGGGGAAAGGGAGCATTAAATAGTCAGAATCTCTACCAGAACCAAGCTAGAGTTGGTCTGGTTTTCTGTCTGGTAGAGACATCAGCATTGCTGCCCTCCAGAGAGGGAGGCCGATTGAGAATCCCACGCTGTGCTGGGGGCACCCAAGAGGTCATCAGCAGGGCCTCTGGGAAAATGCTTCCCCCTCCAGAGAGCTCTGCATGCCGGAAGGACTCCAGCGTGGAGCTCTGTGATAACCCTGGGGAAGCAGCCAAGTGCATGCCCTTTCTCTTCCCAGGACCTGGGGAGAGGGAAGGGAAACTGGTTTTTCTGGTAGTCACGGCAGGAGAGGAAAGAGGAGGAGGATGAAGAGAAGGAGGAGAAATAGGAGGAGGAGGAGGAGGAGGAGGAGAGGGTGAAGATAAAGAGGAGGAAAAGGAGGAGGAGAAAGAGAGAGAAATAATGTTATTAACTACCTAAAGGAGACACTGATTTTGAATTGACGGAGCATATGTGTATATATTATACATATACATATATGTAGGGAAAGAAGGAGAGACAGACACAGAGAAGAACACGCAGAGAGAAGAGAGAACGGGAGTGGGGAGAGATATACACACAGAGACATAGAGACAGGAGAGAACAGGAAGGGAGAGAGAGACAGAGAGACAAAGGGAAAGAGGCAGATAGAGTCAGAGAATGAGAGATGGCAGGTAATTTCATATATATATATATTTTATATATATATATATATATATATGACATGTGACTTGTAAATACACCTCTATACATCTATATGCACATACAGATATATTCATATTTAAATGCACATGAGAAAGGCTTATTGAATTCCAAAGACAAAGAGAATGCACAGACTCCTGGAACCTTGAACCTTTCTGACCAAGTTCCCACCAAAGGCTGAGCCTGCGTGAGACCAGCCCAGCAGGATCCCAAGCTGTAGGTGGCCCAGAAGGACACTTACATGTAGGTTGTTTAAGGTTAATTGTTCACAAGATCTGACTTTCATTGGTTTCCAGTTCCTGGTGAAGTGTTTTCTTTGCAAGTTCAGGAAAGAAAGGGAACAGGAGTTGGCACCTCCCTCTGAAGCAGCTGCCCTGGCACACAAAGAATGGTGCATGGAGGACAGCTCCCCCCCGGCTTCCCCCATGAGACACATTAAAATCAAAACATCTCTCTGTGGAGACTCGAGTCATCTGAAGATCCTGCCTCTGGGTTCCTGGTCCCTCTGCCTTCATTCCTGTTGGTCTATGCTCACCCCCTCTTGCCATCTCTGCCCATTTCCTGGGTCTGCCTCCTCTTACCTAACTGGCTGGGATGTCCAGGGGAGATGACAGCATCTGCCTTGTCTTTGGACTTCTTGGCATCACCAGGTCTGCTGACTCTGTCAAATTTGCTGATGGACTTTTCTGGGTTAAAATTGGGCTGGAAAGCTGATTAGTCTGCCCAGGCTAACATTCCAATTAGCCTCCACCCAGCAAATATTTATTCAATACCTGCTGGGGTCTAAGAATGGGAAAAGCCCATGAGAAGAGTCAACGGTGATGACAATTAGCTCTCTCTCATGGTCCAGACTAGAGAACCCCCACTGGAGGCAGAAAGACCTAGGTTCAAGTCCTCCCTCTGACCCATCCTGGCACCCAGGAGGTCTCACCAACACCTAATCTCTCAGTGCCCTAGGCAGCTCTGTAAGACTCTAGGTTACAGATGAGGTGCTTTTTGCTCTGGAAATTCTCTGTACCAACAAAATCATGGGTGCAGTCCCTATACCAACATATAAGGTGCTATGCTGGGTTTTGGGCACACAAAGACAAAAATGAAGATGGGGCTTGCCTTCAGGGAGCTTACAGTCAACTGGGGACAGGGGAAACATGTACACATATAAGTCAATACAAAATAAATGTGAAGTCATTTCAGGTTGTGGGGCAGAGCGCTGACACCCGGGGGCATCAAGAAAGGCATCTTCTAAGAGGTGGCAGGTGCACAGCCCTGAAGGCAAATGTTGGTGGTCCTTAGTCTTGACCTTCCTTCTGCCCCTCCCTCAACTCCCAGCAGCCTAACAGAAGGAGAAGAACATTAGATCTGGCATCAGAAGCCCCGAGTTCCAGTCCCAGCTCTGTTCCTTTGTAGCTAGGTGACCTTGGCCAGGTCACAGAATTTCTGAGCTTCAACTTTCTCATCCATAAATTGGGGAATAATAACGTCTATCCTTTTTATTTTCTAGTGTGAGACCTATGTATGAATAAAGCAATGGGCTGTTAGAGTTGGAAAGGGTCTTGAAGATCATCTGGCCCACCTCTCTCATTTTACTGAGGTCCAAGTGACTTGTTGAAGGTCACACACAGAGTGGCAAGGGCAGAATTAGAACCTAGGTCTTTTGGCTTTGAAATCAGGATTCTTTCCCTGGTATCATGTAGCGTGTGAAAACTGGAAGACGTGAAGGTACAATACAACAGATTCAAGGTATCCCCATCAGTATAATAAATGGGCTACTGTGTTAGTGAGCTCTTGGTATCTGATGAAGGGATGCTGACAAGGAGAGGGGAGCCCTGCATGAGGTAGATGAGGTGTCCCTCACACCCAATAGCCAATCAGTTACCAAGCCTCGCTTATTCTCCCCAAAGAAGTCGCCCGCTCTCACATCCATCCCCTTCTCTCCAGTCACACGGAAATGCTCTAGGTCAGGCTCCCATCAGCTCTCACCTGGACCTTAGAAGAGCCTCCTAATTGGACTCTTAGTTTCTTTTCTCTCCCTTCCCTGAACATTCCCCCCAGAGCTGCCGAAATGTATCCCTAAAGCCCATGTCTGACCACATCACTCTGCAGCTCAAAAAGCTTCATGTCTCCCTAGGATAAAATACACAGTCTGATTCAGCTTGGCATTGAAAGTCCTTCCCAGTCTGCTCCAGCTTCCTTTGCAGGCTCATGTACATGCATTTCCTTTAGTGTCCATGCAAAGTAGCCTGTTTTCTTTTCCCTAAATTTGGCCTTCATCTCCCACCTCAGGACTTTTGCAGGCTTCCTCATGCTTGAAATGCATCCTCTTCTCATCTTTGTCTCTTAGAATCCCAGACTTCCTTCAAGGCTCAGCTGACATGCCATTTTCACACGCATTGCATGATCCTGTAATACAGGGGCCCTTCACCTGGGTCCATGAGCCCCCAAGGGGCTGGTGGATTGATTTCAGAAGGTCTGAGCACTTGGATGGGGAAATATTACATCTTTAGTTCAATATAATTGTTTTTATTTGTAATCCTGCGTATTTTACTTTATGCTCTCACAGACAAGATTCAGAGGACTCCACAGGCTTCAGCAGACTGCTCAAGGGGTCCATGACCCCAGTAGAATGTAAGCTGTCTGAGGGCAAGAACTGTCTTGTTTTTGTCTCCAGTGCCTAGCACAGTGACACCATGTCACCGCTTGTTGGAGTAGACCTCTAGATTCTAGAAGTCTTCAGTTCCAAGACTCTAAAATCCTGATTCTTCTGGACTCAGCTGGCTAGCAGAATCAAGGCAGAAATGTTGGACCTGAGAGATATAACATGGTGGGGTGGGGGTGGGGAGAGGCGGAGGACCCTGTGGGCTTAGTTATCTAACCTGCAGCAGGCTGGCTTGGATTTCTCCCCCTCCCCTCCTTGAAAAATGGTGTTTACTAAACCATTCCTGCCCCGTGCCCTGAGTCATGCTGAGCAAAGTGACTAGAAGGCCCTTTGCCAAATACAATGTCAAGACTAATTAACCTCAGCTGCAGTCCCCTAATCAGTACCACTTCCCTGGAGCTCCACACGTTTTGCCTGTCTCAGTGACCGCGGCTATACAGACAAAATGCCTCAGCTGCCCCAGGCCCTCTGTTCAGAGTGGCCTTACCCAGGCAGTCCTTGGCCATGGAAAAAGTCTAGGCCACTACATCCAGGAGGACACACAGGGGCTTGTTTACAATTTGCCTGGCCTGGCTTTACAAAGGGAGGGAAGGAAGGAAGGAAGGAAGGAAGGAAGGAAGGAAGGAAGGAAGGAAGGAAGGAAGGAAGGAAGGAGGGAAGGAAGGAAAAAAAAGGAAGGAAGGAAAGAAGGGAGAAAGGAAGGAAGGAAAGAAAGAAGAAAGGTAGGGAAGAAGGAAGGAAGGAGGGAGGGAAGGGAAGAAGGAAGGAAGGAGGGAAGCAAGGGAAGAAGGAAGGAGAGAAGGGAAAAAGGAAGGAAAGAAGGAAGGAAGGAAAGAAGGAAGGAAGGAAAGAAGAAAGGTAGGAAGGAAGGAAGAAAGGAAGGAAGGAGGGAAGGAAAGAAGGAAGGAAGGAGGGAAGCAAGGGAAGAAGGAAGGAAGGAAAGAAGGGAGAAAGGAAGGAAAAAAGGAAGGAAGGAAGGAAGGAAAGAAGAAAGGTAGGGAAGAAGGAAGGAAGGAAAGAAGAAAGGTAGGGAGGAAGGAAGGAAGAAAGGAAGGAAGGAGGGAAGGAAAGAAGAAAGGTAGGGAGGAAGGAAGGAAGGGAGGGAGGCTGGATATCACATTTGATATCAGGAAGAAGTGCTTAAGAATTGAGAGCTACCCAAAGGTAGGAATGGGCTGTATTGGGAAGGCCTGGAATCTCATTTCTAATCTCTGGTCCCCAACATTTGATAGAGCACAGTCTTGGAGTCAGGATGATCTGGATTCAAATCTAGCCTCAGGAAGAAGTTTACTAGTTGTATGGCCTTACACAAGTCATTTCTAGCTTCAGTTTCCTCCTCATTCATTCATTCATCCTCATTCCTCACCTAGACTCGGTGGCTTTAGACACTTTCTGGAACAGAAATCTGATCCAGTCCCTGCCTACCATTTTTAGCAGAATGGCCTCGCCCTCTCTTTCTTCCTGTCTCCAAGCAGGGCAGAAATTGAAATAGCAAAAAGAACGCATTTCAGGATTAATATTGGGATGGGGTCAAGCTCCCCTCTTCTCCGCCCAGCACGAATCTGCTTTTCTGATGGCTTCTGCTGCCCATGACCCAGGGTACACATGCTCCCCAACGTGTAGGCTTTCATCTGATTATGGGAAGAACAGCACATCGATACCGGAAAAGGGATTATTCTGGGACTGCAGGGAGAATGTGGTTTGCCCAGAGTCTAATCAGCTGCAAGCTGGGCCTTATAAATCCTGTGTCAACGTGCCGGCTTAAACAGTCTTTGCCAGAATTGATTTTCTGACCTTTGTGTTCAGAAGCTGCTGGTGCTGGCTCTGGCTGCGCGCATGAAAAGAATTGGAGAAGGTGTGCCTTGCAGCTTGGCTCTTCCCACAAGGGGGAGATGTTTAGAATCCTGTTTAGTGAGATTCGAAGGCTGCATTTCTCTCAGGCCTGCTACATCAAGCCAGCATCCTTGTTTGAGCTCCAGGAGGGAAAGGCTCCCGAGAGCATCCCCTGTTCGGGGACCCCTAGGCCAGCATCCCTTCAGGGAGCCTCAGCAGCAAGAGGACCTGAGCAGCGGTCAGTCTTCCTGCTCCTCACCCAGACCCGTTCATTGTCATCGGCTTTTATCACTGAGCTGTAGTTGGTGGGGATGAGGAGTTCTCTGCAGCCCTACTCAGTGTCTATTATGCCCCCCCCCACCTTTGATCCAGTCCCCCACCAAAAAGAACTACAGAGCTGAGAATCAAAGGGTCTGAGTTTGACTCAGGGCTGTTCACTTAGGGCCACCCCCTAAACATGGGCTGTAGGGGAGGGTGCCTTTGGGGCAGGGTGTGGCAACCCCCACATAGCTCCCCTACTTGTCCGTCTGCCACAGACCCTAAGTTTCTACCATTAGTCCTTCTTTTGGGTCCTTTTAGCATAGACCTAGAGCAGGAGGGATTGTAGAGGTCATTCAGTCCAAGCTCCTCATTTGATGCATGAAGAAACTGAGGCCCAGAGAGCTAAAGGGATTGGTTTAAGGTCACACAGATTTGGAGTGGAAGAGCGATGATTTGAAAAAGGGTCTGGGACTTCAAGTTAAACAGTTTTTCCAGGGACTGTTTTGCAAGCAGGGCCAACAGTTCAGGAAGAAAGAAAGGGAGGGAGGGAGAGAGGAAGGAAAAGAGAAAGGGAGGGAGGGAGGGAGAAAGTAAGGAAAGAAGGAAGGGAAGGAGGAAAAGAAAGAGGGAAGGGGGAAGGAGGGAAGGGAAGAAGGAAGGAAGAGAGGAAGTGGGGAAAGAAGGAAGGAAGGAAGATATTTAGAAATGAAGGTGCTGTGAAAATGAAAGATATCAATAAAATTTTTAAAAATATACTATTAGACATCTACTTTGCCGATGGAATCATGCTAAGCTTCACAGATACAAAGATAAAAGCCATAGCATTCCTTCCCACAAGGAGTTTATGTTCTAAGAGCAGTAGCTTAAGAGGGTCCTGCCTGAGATTCTTTGCCTAGTTATGGCTCCTTTTCTCTGCTAATTCAGCCTCTAATTGATATTCCTGCCTCAAATCTAGGCTTTCTCTCATCTGCTTTCCGTTTGGCTCCCCAAACTGTGTCTCCTAAAAGGGATCTGATAATGTCACTCCTGTACTCAAACGTCTTCAGTAACTCCCTGTTGTCTCTAGGATAAAACCCCAAATCCTCAGTCTTCTACCTCTTTCTTCTTTTTCTATTCACCTGTTTTCTCTAGATTTTCAAACTAGGTGGACCAGCCAGGGGGTGGGGAGATTTTTCCTTCTTCCATTCCCTCCATCCCTACTCATGCCCCCCAAAATGAACAGAAAGTCCTTGCAGCACAAACAGCTTATACTGGCACAGAGTAGCCTGAGATTACAGTCTATGGAACTCCTCAGTGGTTCCCTGTTAACTCAAGGATCAAATTCAAAATCCTCTGTTTAACATTCAGAGCTCCTCACCACCACCTGGCTCCAACTCCCCCTTCTGCCTTATTAACACGTCATTCCCCGTGATACACACTGCCATCCAGTCAAAGCGGCCTCTTACTGCTCTTCACACGTGACGCCCCATCTCTATTCCTCTGTGCCTTTGCATGGGCTGTGCCCCATGCCTGGAATGCCTTCCCTCCTCATTGCTACCTCTTAGAATCTCCATTTCCTCTGAAGCTCAGCTCAAATGCTTTCTGTATGAGGTGTCCTAATCCCCCCAGCGGCTAGTGCCCACTCCCCAAAATTACCTCATATTGATTATGTGTGTCTTTATATATGCATGCACACATACACACGGAGCACAGACTTATTTTGTATATATTGAATCTTTGAACTTCCTTTTTCTTCTGCCTGGATATTCTCTCCTCAGATCCATCTCTTGGAATGTCTGGTTTCCTTCAACACTCAGCTCAAATGCCACCTTTTACAGAAGACCTTTTTGTCTCCTGTAGAAGTTAGTGCCTTTTCCTGCAAAGATACTTTTTCTCTCTTTTGTATTTGTCTTACATGTAGTACTACTGCTGCTGCTGCTGCTGCTGCTACTATTACTACCACTACTACTTTTACTCCTACTACCACCACTACTACTGGTGCTACTATTAATTGTTACTACTACTACTACTACAACCCCTACTACTGGTACTATTACTACTATTGCTACCACTACTCCTATTCCTATTACCACTACCACCACTACTACTGATACTACTACTACTATTACTACTACTACTAACTAGCTAACATTTATATAGCACTCACTGTGAACCGGCCACTGTGCTAAGCACTTTACAATCATTATCTCTTTTGATCCTTGAACCACTCTGGGAGGTAGGTGCTATTCTTATCCCCATTTTACGGTTAAGGAAACTGAGGCAGACAGAGCAAAGTGACTTGCCCAGGGTCACATAGCTAGTAAGTGTCTGAGGCTATATTTTGAACTTAGGTCTTCCTAAATCTAGGTGTGGCACTTAGCTAAATGTACCACCTAGCTAAATGTGTATATGTACACACACACACATATCCCTCTATCTATATTTAAATGTAGGTTGTCTCCCCCTGTAGGACATAAGCTTCCTGAGAGCAGCAACAGTTTCATTTTATACTTATTTATACAGTTTCATTCTATACTTATGCTACATGTGCATACAGCAGGTAGATAATAAGTGCTTATTGGTTGGTTGGTTAATTGATACAGAAAAATAAGGTTCTACTTACTCTCCTTGGTTATCCTTGAGGAAAAACCTACATGGAGGGAGAAAGAAGACATGATTAGAATTTATGTCATAGAAGGAGAGCCCTGGAGCTAAGGGGAAGAAGAAAAGAAGTTTTGAGGGAAACAATACTATTTTGTACCCCCAGGCAGTCTAAACATAGTTCTCCTCATTACAGGATTTCACAAAAGGTGATTTTAAAAAAATGTCGAATGTTGCGGAATCTTCCATCAAGCCAACCCTAACCAGTCAACCTTGAGCTCTTCTCCTGAACCCCAAAGGGGGCTTCATGTTAGCACTGTACACTTGGTACCTCTTTGTGGTGGTCAGTCCTGACATGTTCTCTGATTGTGATACACCTCCCAACCTCACTTCCATGCACAATAAATATCTTAATTTCCCTGAGGTCAGAAAGTCGGATACAGTTTCTGGGAGTCCTACCTCAAACAGAAACCCTTCATTCTCTACCTTTCACCTGAAGCTCTGTGACGAAATGAGTTTCCAGATAAATTCAGAGGTAAAAATTGATGTCAGATTGAATTAATATCATAGTGATGGGAGTAATCTCAAATTGATGATGGTTCCACCATTGGCCATGAGATATGTTTCACATTTGCTTGAGGTAAGAAGTGGTGACTGAGGGAGTTTGGGTGCCATGTGGGTGGTGGACTATGGCTGAAAAGCCAATGGTGGTCACTCCTAATTGCCTGAGGTTTGGAATGGATTTTTAAAGAATCAATTCAGAGGGGGAGTAGTTTAGAAGATGGGGAAAAGGACAGATATCAATAAAAATGTATTTTAAAAAAAATCAGAGAACTGATCTGAGCCAATGTGCCCAAAGTCCAATAGACAGAGATCTAAATTTCTCAGTGGCGTAGTGATTGGGGGTGAGGAGAACAGGGGGCTCTCTCCTCAAGGAGGAATGCAAGCTTGATCTATAGCCTAAGAAGTCAAGGGGCTTCAGAAGGGTCTTGAAGTATCATCCATGTTTCCTTCCTTTTGTGGACTCATCCTATCATTCCCAGGACCAGAAGGGCCTCCCTGGAGCCATTTTCCTCTTCATGGACCTCACCATTGGCCAAGAACTCTGCCTCACCCCCAATACCAATGTGCAACATTCAGTAGAGAAGTGGGGCCTATAGAAAACTCCTATTCAAATGAATAACAACTTTTGCCTATCATCTAAACAATATGTCATTGGCCACATATGGCAAGGAAAAGATGAGTTAAATAACTTCCAAATAACTCAGCTATGGGGTAGTGTTTGGGAAGGAGGTCCAACTTTTTTTTTCCTCACCAGCTAAACAAAGAAATGGCTTAACACATTTAGGACTTGTTAAAGGAGAGTTATATATTTATTAGGGGATGGGTTTCAGGGTTCTGGAATGGAGTTGAAATTCATCTGGGGTGCATGGGGGTGATATTTGTCGTTTTCTGGGTCACTGGCAGTGTATCAGATTAACGTGAGGGAGGCAGTCATGGCAGAATACAGTGAGAATGCTAGTTGAGAAGGCAAAGAGATTGGTTGGTTCCCTAGAGAGATTCATGTGGGCCCATAAGAGACTCATCAGAGGATTGGAAGATGGTGGTCTCCCTAAGAGGAGTTCCCTGGAGATAGGACCGTGGGAAGAATGCTGGGAAAGGTGGAGATCTGCACAGGCAGACACCCTGAGGCAAAGTCCCAAAGCCTTCCTTATGGCTCTGGCTTAGACTGGTTTCCTCCTTTCTTCCATTTTCTTTCTCCCTCATTTTTTCCTTCTCTTATACTTTCTCTCCCTTTCCCTCTTTCTTTTCACTTACTGAAAGATAAACACCCCCTAAATCCACAGCATTTCCCCAAGCCTTTCTCCATTTTCTCTTAGCTAACTTTCCCTCCTGGGTTCATTCCAGTGTGTGCTTCTGCCTTTGGGAGGAAGAAAAGAGTTGGACTCATTAAGAAGGGAAGTGGGGACAGCAGCCTTGGTGCTGACGGACAGCAGCAGTCCAAGAAATCTATGCAGGGGCCTAGGTCAGACACGCCAGTGATGGAGTAGAGCCTTGACTGGGGCAGCAACAGCCACTTCAGCAAATGATAATTCTTTTAGATTTTCAGCCCCAGCCCTGAGGTTTCCCTGCTAATAAAATGGCCAAGAAGTAACTTACCCAGGTAGCCTCGAACACTGATGGTTTTACCAGTTCTGTTGAAATAGATGTGGGTAAAGAACCATGTGGCCATCAGGGTTGAAATGATGACCATGATGCGGAGTATGACTGAGAGAGGAGACAGAGAATAGGTGACATTAGATCAGAGTGAGAAGAGTAGCTACCCTAGAATATTCATTTGACCTTGGGCAAGTCACCCTTCTTCTCTAGGCCTTGATTTCCTCATCTGTAAAATGATAAACTTTTACCTAATGACCTCTGGAGTCCTCTCTTGCTCTGGAGCTATGACCCTATGACCCACGATCAGCAACACTGTGAAGAGGACTTTTGGGGGAGAGAGGGACCCTCTTTTTCTCCTTTGGCATTTTTCTCTCTTTGGCATTTTTCTCTTTTGACTTTTGGTGTTCTGCTAGTCTTGAGACCCATCACTCTTGAATTGCCATAGGTTGCCCATGGCTGCCCAAAGTAGGGCCCCTCCTGGGCCTTCCTCTACCATTTCCAACCTTATCCTATGATTCAGTATTTTCCCTTCTAAGCCAATGGAACCATCAAAACTTACTTATTCTGAATCTCATTCTCTAAGGGTCTTGATGGCTCACTGGATGAAAGGAGAAACTAACTGATGTTAAGATGCTGACGGCTTATTCAATGTCCACATTTATTAGAACTTTAATGACAACTAAAAATATTTTTTCAATTAGCAAACATTTATTTTCTCTCTCTCCTCCAAGTTGGGGATGGGGTAGGGTAACAAAAACAAAACTTTTCTACCAAATATGCATAGTCAAGCAAATTCTCATATTGGCCACATCCAAAAAAATGCATGTCTCATTCTGAAGATTTATTCCATCACCTCTCTTTCAGGAGATGGGTAATGTTCTTCATAACCAGTTCTCTGGAATTGTGGCTGATCACTGCTTAATGCCTTAATCTTAAGGAGTCAGAAACATGGGAATTTTAGGAAGAAGTTTCTGGAGAATCTGTGACTCAACTTCCCTCTTAAGTATGGAAAACAGCTTTTTCTTCTGGCTTCCCCCATTGCAAGAATATTCATGTCGACATGATTCAGTTCTCTGTGCGTCATTGAGTCCAGCCCTCCCATTCAGAGTACCTATAAGGAGGCAGATAGACTTAGACTCTCCTATAAGCATGTATCCTTGAATCTCTAAGCACACTGGGGACTGACTGGACAACAGTCATTGCTGTCTTGGCTCTTTTAACTTGCCTGTCCTGAAGCAATTGCTTTAGATTAGGAAATGGGATGAGTGTGTCCAGGAGTCCTGTTGGTGACTTTTTCGCTCACGCCTCAAGCATTGGTAAAATTCCTACTCCAGTATATGCCAGGCACTATGCTAGGGTGGAGTTATACCAAGACAAAAAGAAATAGCTCCTGCCCTCAAGGAGATTATATTCTGTTGGGGGGGGCAATATATATGAGGGGAAAAAATAAGTGCAAAATATATACAAAGTAATCTTTGTACCTGTATCTCTAGTGCCCGGCACATAGTAGGCTCTTAATAAATGCTAAGTGACTGATTAATTGATAGAGAACCTTTGTAAAGGCAGAGAGGTGGGAGATAGAACCACATGTATGGGGAGGGAAACAATAGGTGGATGAGTTTGGCTGGAATGGAGAACACCTGGAGGAAAGTAATAGTGACTGGCACACAGCAGGTGCCTCAAAATTTTTTATTGATTGATTACTTGATTGATAATGTATAATAGGCCTGGAAAGGTAAGCTCCCTTGTGACAGGATGGAAAGGCAAAAAACCAGTTTAAGTCAAACTGATGTCAGGAAGAGTTGATCTGTCAAGAACAACCAGGCTGCCTTTGCAAGGAGACAGAGGCTGGCTCTGCCTGGAACAGTTTGGAGTGAATGCCTGCTGGGTTTGGCCCAATGGGTCTTGTTGGAGAGTGGCTGGGGTGGGCTTCTACAGAATAAGATACTCCAAGAAGTCACTGGTTGTAGAGGAAGGGCCCTGAATAGCTGTCACTCTCCCTGACCCAGCCGCAAGGGCACTGGGGGTAGGAAGGCTGGGGCAGGGAGAACAGGTGGGAAACAAAACCAAGGCTATTCAGGGGGAAGTCAGAGACCCTTCTCACTCTGATAGAGAGCTATCAGAAACTGAACCAACCCATAGAGGAGGGAAGGGAAAACAGTGCTCATCCTGTGTTAGCCCAGCTAGGAACAAGGGGCAGGCAGGCAGAAGCTGTAACCAATCACTCAAATAACAAATATGTATTAAGCACTTACTATGTGCAAGGTACTGTCCTAAACACTAGGGATACAAAGAGAAAGAAAGGAAGAAAGAAAGAAAGAAAGAAAGAAAGAAAGAAAGAAAGAAAGAAAGAAAGAAAGAAAGAAAGAAAGAAAGAAAGAAAGAAAGGGAAAGGAAGGAAAGAAGGAAGGAAGAAAAGGAAAAAAGGAAGAAAAGAAAAAAGAAGGAAGGAAGAAAAGGAAAAAAGAAGGAAGGAAAGAAAGAAAAAGAAAAAAGAAAGGAAGGAAGGAAGAAATAAAGGAAGAAAAGAAGGAAAGAAAGAAAGATCTTGCCTTCAGGGAGCTTACCTTCTTTTGGGGAGACATATAAGTATATGCAAAGCCATTCAAAATGAGTTCTAGGTAGGATACTCATACCAGATAGGGCAATCATTTGGGAGAGGGCATAAAAGCAGTTGGCAGGACCATGGTAAGACATTATGTAGAAGGGGGCACTTAAATTGAGTCTTGAAGGAGTCCAGGGATTCTGAGAGGCAGAGGTAAGGAGGGAAGGCATTTCAGGCATGGAGTCAGTCCATGCAAAAACATGGAGATGAAAGATGGAGCTTCCTGTGTGCAGAATATAAGTTGGGGAGTGGTAACGTGAAAGGAGGCCGGAAAGGTAGAGAAAAGCCATCTTGTGAAGAGTCAACAGCACTGAGGTGTGCCCCCAATTGTATCCTGTGTTTGGCTGCTTAGAATGAGTTCATAAAACCTGGGGGAAGGTGGGCCTCTCCAGCAGAAGTCTGGAAGCATCCTCTAATCATAAAGCTTGTGCAGAACTTGCATAGCTTTTAGGAAGGAGAAAACTGGAGAGAGCTGGGACCCTGGAGTGGGTCTACAGGGGTGGATGCTCTGGAGAATTATTCCCATTGTGTCTGTGGGGGTGTTTCCCCTGTGCTGTTAATGTTATGAGGGAGGGAGAGAAGAGAGAGGGTCGAGTTCTGAGCTGAGCTGACAAGCTCCCCTAGTCTTGGGCATGAAGAACTTCATATGAGTCACCAGTTCAGCAGAGATGCATTCTTGATACCAGCTTCTTGTTTTATGTTCCCTGCCTTCTAGATGGCACAGTGGAAGGATCATGGGGGCCTGGGGTCAGAAAGATCTGAATTTAAAAGATGCTGGACAAGTCACATAACCTTAGTTTGCCTCAACTGACTCTTCCATAAAATGGAGATAATAATAGCACCCACCTCCCAAGGTTGTTGTGAGGATGAAATGAGATATTTGTGAAGAACTTAGCAAATTGTCCAGCACATAGTAAGTACTTAATAAATGCTTCCCCCCCTCTTCCTTCCCTTAGGGTGTTTTGTTTCAAAAGTCAAGTGTTAGTGTTGGCAATTTTGGCTAAAATGAGCCCTAATCAGGTTCCCACCTTTTCCTCAACTAGCAGCCTACAAAGGACACCCGCACCTGAGGGCTGAGGCTGGTGATCTGACCTAGTTGCTCACTCTCATTTCACCAGGCAAGTTACGATTTGTGAGACTTGGGGACTCCTCTAGATAACTGCCTTCAACTCCTGGTGAACCAGGGATCTCTCTGCCCACAAGGCTGGGTGGCCTCCCAGTTCTGTCCCTTCAAATGCATCATGGAAGCTCCTACAGAACTTCACCATTCAGTTTTGTATCCCAAAACTGTCATGCCTCTGCATTTTTCTGGGACCTTGAGTGAGGATCTTGTTTGCTTGGGTCTCCCTATGGGCAGTTAAAAGGAGCTGGGGCTTATTTTATCAGATCAGGGGAGGCAGACTCCTTTGGTTTGAACAACAATAACAACAAAAGTCAGCCACAGGACAGTGCTGGACCCTGCTTGTGATGGCTCTTAAGAATTGATTGCTAAATTTTCAATATTTACACCTTAAAAAAAGGGCAAATGCTGCAGGTCAGGGCTTGGGTTACTGTTCTATTGATTGTGTAGACTGAAGAAAATGATGGAAAGGGGGTTAATAATACAGATTAAACTTAAAAGTGCATCATGTGTACACCCCCCCACACACACCAAAGAGCCGATTGTTAAACATTTACCAGCAGCAACTGTACAACTTCAGCTTATTTAATTAATAAGAGTCTGAACTTACCTGACAGCCTCATCCTGCCCAGGGAGAAGACACTTTGGCCTGATTGAGATCAGTGCTGGCCTGTGGAAACAAAAGCAGAATGAGAATGTGAAATCAATCTCTGAAAATAACAACAAAGACCAAAACCAGAACCGTCTAAATGAAAAGAATCCACTTCTAGTGATAGGATCCTAGGCTCATAGATTTAGAACAAGAAAGGACCTTAAAGGGCAAGTCCAAACCCCTCATTTTACAGGTGAAGAAACTAAGGCAAAAGGAGGTTAATGACTGGGAATACACAGCTACCGTCTGAGATTCTGAGGTAGGATTTCACTTACTCCATCAAATATGACCCAGTAATATATATTTTTTTCCTCTAGAGACTCTCCTTCCTTTCCTCTACTTCCTCCACCATCTTCCTATCCAAAGTCTATCTTGATTTAACAATTATTTGCAAGACACCCAGGCACCTTGCAATTCAGCCCTGGGGCTCAAAGGGAAAATGTAGCCTAGCCCCTGGCTATGATGTAGTTGAAGAGGCAAGACTTTTACATGAGGAACAGATAGACAACAGACAAGTACATGTCTGAATAGGTGTGGAAATGAGTGAAAGCAGAACACAGATGAGATCCATCAGATTTCTTGGGAGAGAGAAAGAAAAAGGTGGAACCCTCACCAAATCTGTACCTCTGAGTTAAAAAAAACTCCATCTCTTCTAATGAGTCATTTTCTTTAAAAGATTTTAAAGAGGAGGGAGAGAGAAAGAGAATAATATGAAAGGTGAGGGAGGGTGAAGAAGATGTGCTCCAAGGGGTTTTTTTAAAGAATATTATGGGTTTATTTATTACTATTGTTTTCTTGCTTAGTGCTGTCTGACCCTTCATGACCCCATTTTGGGTCTTCTTGGCAGAGATGCTGGAATGGCTTGCTGTTTCCTTCTCCAGCTCATTTTACAGATGAGGAAACTAAGGCAAACAGGGTTAAGTGACTTTCTCAGGGTCACACAGCTAGTAAGTGTCTGAGGCCAGATTTGAACTCAGATCCTCCTGGGTCAGCATCCTATCCCACTGAGCCCCCTAGGTGCCTATGCTCCAGGAGTCCTTAACCTTTTTTTGTATCATGGACTCTTTGGGCAATCTGATGAACCCAGGGACCCCTTTGCAGAATAAGGTTTTTGGTTTTAATTCTTAATTGAAGGAAATGCTCAATTTCAGTTAGAGGTGACTTAAAATGAAGATGTAATTTTTTTCCCCTTTCAAGTTTATCTAATATCCCCTGAAATCTATCCATGCATCCCCTTGGGGAGGAGGGAGAGTATTCATAGACTCTGGTGAAGAACCTTTGATATACTCAGTACTTTGCATGGTATGAACTTAGCAAATACTTAATACCAAACAATACAAGCATTTCCACCCACAAAGTTTCCTTATCAGGAATAGGAAAGTAATATCTTCACAGCCTACAGGAAGATTTATTGTTCCGAGGCCCAAATAAATAATAAGAACCACAAAACTAAATGGTATTGATCAAGCAGCTTGAAGTTGGCAAAGTGCAGCATGTACAGTATCTCATTTGAGCCCCCAACACAAAGCAAAATGCCTTTGAAAACAGCATGTTGAATCAGCTGTGTTCTTGGAGGGAGGACAGACGAAGAAGGAGCCCCCAGGTACACAATTTACTTCTCCCTCCCAAAGTGATGGACTTTGCAAACTTTAAGGCACTAGATCAATCCCATTTGGGTTTGTGGTTATTATTATTTATTTGGGCTTCAGAACAATAAATCTTCAGGTAGGCTGTGAAGATATCACCTTTGTATTCCTGATGAGGAAACTGAGGCCCTGAGAGAATAAGTTAGTTGGGAAATGTCACTTAAGCTCTCGGGACCTCGCCTTCCTCACCTGTAAAGTGAGGAGGGTTGGGCCAAATGAACTCTAAGGTCCGTTCTAGCTTTATATCCCCCAATCCTTCACATTATCCGAGGTCACACGACTCGGAAACGTCAGGGTGAATTTGGGCTTGATCTCCAATTTATCCTGTACAAACACCCTATTCTACATGTCTGCATTAGAAAGTGAGCTACTTGAGGGCAGGAAGTGTCTTTTACTTCCTTTTGTATATCCAGAGCTGAGCACAGTGCATGGCACATAGTAGGCTTAATAAATGTTTATTGAGCCTTGGAGTCAAGAGGACATGCATTCAAATCCAGCCTCAGACACTTCACACTAACTAGTTGTGTGACCCTGGGCAAGTCACTTAACCCTGATTGCCTCACCAAAAAGTAAAAAAAAAATGCTTATTGATTTGAGTTGATGTCTCATTCCAGCTCTGTAACTAGTAAATCATGCAAAAATCTAGTTTGGGACCCTAGCTTGTCTGATTCTAACATTCTGAGTTTCTCAAGCCCCCTCCCCTTCCCCCACAGCCCCTCTTAAAAATCCTGGGAGGATGGAGAAAGCACACCTGTGCTCTGGAAAAATTTTAAAACTATGGTAAGGAATAAGCCCCTGAAAGGTTAAAAAAAACCAGCCACGATATGGACTCAGCCAGCTGGAACCTGGTGCCATCCATGGTTTTGTCTTGTTTTCCCACCCTTTGTCTTGGCTAGGTTGGGGCCACCTGCCAAGCTGTGTTCTGAACTCCACCAAAGCCTGACAAACTCATTAAAGTTTCTCTTCCAAAGGGCCCAAGGGCCCTCATGTTTTGATATCTCCAGTCCCAAGTCACTAGAATTCTAAAATCATCCAGGACCCCGTGAGAGGGGAGTGGCCAAAGTCAGGCAAGACATAAGGAGAACATAGACCAGAATGCAGCCTCCTGCAGAAATAGGATTTTCTTGGAAGGTTCAATTGTGTTATCCTTCCATCTGCGTTTTAGATGGATTTTATATTTAGGTGGCAAGCTTGAGAAAGCCCACTAGGGCTTCAGCAGCCACTCCTCAGGGATAGGAGTCCATTTGAAGAGCTGTGAAAATCTTTCTCTCAACCCTGTGTTAGATGGCAAGACTGAACCCTCATTTGTTGCTGCTGGGCTAATTAAAAAAGACAGAGCTGAGCTGGAAAATGAGAAGCAAGTCCTAAAGTCTCTCCTTGCTGCTCCTTTCTGGTGTAAAACTAATAATTTCCAAGGTTTGTGAAAGGATGAGGGAGAAAGTGAAATAAAGATGATACCCATTTTACAGATGAAGGAAGCAAGGCTTGGTGAGATTCATAGAATTATAAATTTAGACCTGAAAGAGAGCTTAGAGACCATCTAATCCATCCCAGAGAAAGTTAAGGGACTTGGTCAAGATTACACTGCTGATGAATGGCAAAACCAAGACTCTTACTCCAAAATCTGGTGTCTTCTCCATTGCCTTACCATTGACTTCCTGGCTAATAATTATTGGAGCCAGGACACAAAAGAACCCTCATCTCCTCTTTCCAGGAACCTTAGGTTTAACTTGTATTTGCTTTGTACGCGTTCTGCATGTCTAACATTCATGAAACATTCTAAGGTTTGCAAAGAGCACTACATTAGACCGTGAGCTCCTTGAGGGCAAGGATGGTCTCAAGACTTAGTAGAGTGCCTGGTGCATAGTAGGACTTCATAAATGCTTATTGGCTGACCTAACTACATGTTTATCTCTTTTGATCTTCCTGACAACCCTGGTGGGGTCGTCATATCTTTTCCTCTTAGTTAATATCTGAGCAAGGTTCTGGGGACACAGACTGACCCTGTCCTCACGGAGTCTACTTGGGGTGCCATGGGGGAGGGGTACAGTATGCAGACAGGTAAGCAAACCACACATTAGGACTCCAGAGTTCTAGAGCTTGAGGGGCTCTCTGAAGTCACCTTACTACCTACCTGGGTGATGTTGGGCAAGTGATTTCCCATCTCTCTGAGTCTCGGGTTTCCTCAAATGAAATCGCTGGCCAAGCAACCCTCAGGTAAGTGTCAGATTAATATACAATAATTTAAAGAGGTAGAGAGTGCTAATAACTAGATAAAAGGGGGAAGGGGTGAGGAAAGCCTTGGGTAGAAGAGGGCACAGCTGACTTGAACTTTAAAGCAAGCAGGGGCTTTTCTGAGGCAGAGGAAAAGGGGCTGTTATGGGGTACTGCCTAACATCAAATATTTGCCATTTCAGATGGGCATCTGACAAGGGGGTAGGGGTGAAGGAAAGGAGGTTGGACAGATCTGGGAACTGCCAGAGACAGAGACAAAGAGGGACAGAGACAGAGTGAGACAGAGACAGAGGAGCCCTTTTACATGGGCTGGTACCTCACATTTAGGTACCCACTGAAGACTAGGGTTTAGAGAGATCTTCAGCTTTCACTGGAGGGGGATACAACCATAGAACAGTCCGGACAGACCTTCCAACAGCTTAGCCCCTCCCTCCCTTTCTCCCTGTCTTCCTCCCTCCTCCTCTCTCTAAACAACTACCTGCACATCATGTCCTGAGGGAGGGAGGCCCTTATCTTCAGAAGTTCGGCCATCCAGCCTACTGAGTCTTGACCAGAAGCATGATGCCCCCACCTCCCCCTCCCCTGCCATCCAATCCCTTCCACCAACGCAACTCCAGGCTGGGGTGAGATCAGTGGGGTCAACAGGGTGGGGTCAGACATCCTCTAGGCAGCCGCATTTTTTTCACTTTTTTCTCTAGTTAGTTTTTATAACCTGTTATCGAAGTTGGAAATCATTAGGTAAAGAACCCAAGGAGGCCTGTCATACTTCCTTTGGGTAGGGATGGAAGAGCTGAAGTTTGTCCTCCCGGACTCTGCTACAGCTCAGACAAAGTTAACTGGATGCAGGCTAGGGCAGAGATGCTGCTTAGAGGCTGATGGGCATGGCCAACTGGAAGGCGTTCCACTTAGTCCTGGAGAATAAAGTCCCTGCCCTCAAGGAACGTGCGATTCAATAAGGATATTCAGCCTGTGCACAGGTATATCCCTCCCTCTGTGTAACACCTCCCCTAGAAAGGGTAAGACTGGCCCAGACTCACACAGACTTCTGGGATTGGGAGTTTTTTCTCTCATCTTCTAAGGCAAAGAAATACCACATTTTGAGGCACTAGGGGGAGATTAAAGGAGAGCACTTCCTTG